TTGAAGAGAAACAATCAACCACTGATATAACAGAACTAATCCTTCTGCTTCTTTCTTTTCTTTTCTTTGCATTTCATTTCATTTCCGCTGAATCCAAAAAGGCATAAAGTCCTCAAAGGAGCTTTAAGAAATAATAATGTTTTTTTTCTTGCTTTTTTCATTTTTGCTCAGATAACTGCTGAAACTACAAATCGTTTTTTGGCCATGAAGGAAAGGAGTGATATTTCATTTCAATTGTACCATTGCTCCCCCCCCCATGTGATTGAACTCCCTTTGACAAGCCTTATCTTATGATACCTTCTTCTTTCTTCCTGACGTCTCTGTCTTTCTTTGCTTTTCGTTTAATTTCCGCTGAATCCAAAAAGGCACAGAATCCTTGATCTAACTCGATAACCCCCCGCCGTCACACGATACTTACGGTCATGGAGTTGGATGAGGATGTAGGATTACAGGAGTGTCGCAGTCGAAAAGCCTTTATGTTCATGACAGAGCTTGCAAAGTTCCATAAAAAAATCCTCATGAAAGAGTTAAAGTGATTGCGAACTGGTGAGATGATAAGGTTTGGGGGGCATTAGTGTAAGGGCATACCACATGTGATGAAAAAGATAAAGACTTTGTAATTCCCAAAGCTGGAAAAGTGGACGTGATCATACAGCTGTGCCTTGATATAATGCAGACAACCATCCAGTGGCAGACGGGATGAGAGCTCGCCTCTCTCTGGGTTTTAAAAAAAAAAGTTTTTTCTTTGTTTGCTTTTAATGATCGGATTCTCCTGAAGTAATGATCTCAGAGAAGAGAAGACAAACAAAACCTTGATTAGAATTACTACCAATGTCTGCTCTCATGACTGATGCATGAGGGAGTACAGTACATTAAACATAAACTGAGGATGAAGGCCTAATCCAGTTATCCATGATTGTAGAGAGATAATTGGGATGAACAGAGAATAAGAATTATATGTGAAATGAAGCTCAATAGACACAACGTGGAATTAAAATTAAAAAAACATTCAACTTGAATTGAGGTACAACAATGACATATGTAGAGCAACCTCTATGTCCAATAACATTCATGTTATATATAAGTATATATGCTGTAAGGGGACCTTCATTCCATTCACCACCTTCAGACTGTGTCGTCCTGACAACCACCGTCGTCCTCATTCATGCACAGCCTGCTCTGACCTCCACCTCAGGGGCAAGGAAGTGTGGACAACAGGAACGTGAGGAATACAAAGGAGAAATCCTTCCTGCATAATATCCCATATGCTTTTGTAAAGCGTCTCCAGATAGCAATTGTTATAAATTGGTGCTATAATGATTGATTGATTGATTTCATTGGGCTGCACACGATTAAAGGACAACCTGCACTACATTACAACTCCATATGGAGCCCAACTTCCTGGTGTCTCCTCCTGACTAGACACTGTTATTTCCATACAGAGGTCTGTCATCCAGCATTCCTGTCGTCTGGTTTAAGCTCACATGACTGTTAAAATCGTGCAGCAACATTTACCCTACATTTCAACCTTGAATCGAATGAACGCAAAATGCAAAAAAACCCCAAAGACAATGTACTTTAATCTTATTTGGATTCCGCGCCGTGCACTCGGGTCAGATCCACTAAACAAATCATTTCTGATGTTCAGACAGAGCCTCACATTTGATTCTTCACTGGAACATCCATAACTCTCTGCCTGTGAAAGGTCACAGAGCAACTTTGTTAGTTCAGTCCAGCTCCGGTCCACAACAATTCATGGATTATTCCCGCTGCGTCAGGTACGGAGCCCTCAGCCCCTTCCGAGCTTACAAAATCATTTTGCTAATGGAAAGCCGCCGAATTGCTTCTGAACTGCAGCAGAAAAGAGAGCGAAAGTTATTTCATCGGGAGCAGCAGATAATCCATTTTGCCAACACAGACCTGAGAGAGCAGCCACTTATGCTATCAAGAGCAGCGGAGACACTCTAATCTATAATCCACTCTTCATTTGTGATTGCTTACATCAGGAAATTGCTTGCATCACACGTCCAGAGCTTGAATAATAACAAAGTGTAAAATAAGTGGGCTCAGGCTGCAGCTCCGGCCTGGTTTATATGCAGGGGTGATGCTGGCCGGGCGACAGCAGCGGCTCTCACAGCGGTTAATGAAGAGCTTATGCTTTGCCAGACATTCATGATGGAAGTGGCAGCAGAAGGAAAGTGTGTGGACGCTTTCTGTCTTTGTGTGTGTATGTGAAAAAAAGCTGCACATTGTGTGTAATCACTATTGCAAGGGTTCAAAATGCTTAAATAATGCACACACCCAAAAAAAATCCTTTATCAGTTAAAGAAAGTCAAAAAAGATTATATCTGCAAAAAAAAACAGTCGAGGTGTCGTCTCATGTTCTTTCTGACATCTGTGGGAAAAAAAAAATAAGACAATTCCTTTTGTGGGCAGAACCACAATGCTGCATGTTAATAATGTGGTGTCAGCAGCATGAAGTTGAAGAAAACAGGCTTGTTTTCCTCTGGGATTTTGCACAGTGTGAGTTGTGATGAGGCTTTTACATTCTGCAAAATACTAGACAACGTGATGAAACAGGTTTTGTATCTCTCTCTCTCTCTCCTCATCAAAACTTGCTTATTATTTCATCAGAGGGCTTTGGTTGCTCGCCTTTGTTGACCTTATTTTGAGTCCCACGCAGTCATTATCAACTACACTAAGAGACTGAAACTTGAATAAACAAATGGACATTTAAATAATCAGAACAATCAGAGGTCCTTCTCACAGTACCGTGATTTTCAAAAAGTATTCAGGCCAAAAAAGGTTTTTAGAGCTGAATTTTTATGGTTGAGATTTTAAATTATACCAAATAAATATTCAAACTATGACATCTCTGCACTGTGAATAACCATGCCCGGTTATAGAACAAAATGACTTAGGGAGCATCTAAGATTAAAGGTGGTGCAGCTACAGGACCGGAAACAGCAAAGGAAAATAACATACTGTAGGTGTTACTGTATGGCTCCCGGTGTCGCATGTGGTCCCTGTTGAACTGACAGGTCACATGTCATGACTGTCAGATCATGGATATAATAAACATGATCTGAGTCACTGTTGCCACTTGATTAATTATTGAATAAATATATATTTTTTTGTTTTTTTGTTTGCATTCATTCAATTGAGGGTGCAAAATGTAAACTGCACCCTCGTCCTGGTCCTGTGAAAAATATGTAAGAATTTTGTGAGGATATAACTGCTTTAACTGTAATGACCGAATGAAACTGTATTAAACACTCTAAGAGGGCGGAATGGTTTTTGAATTTAGAAATCGTTCTGTTTCTCTGATTAATAAGCAGCCAAGAGCCGAAAGTCCACAGAATTACACCTGCGGTTTGTTCTCCTCATTGACGAACCAGTTAAGTGAAATATACACCAAATGTTTTGTTCACTCTATAACCTTCAGAAAATGTCCAAAAAAAAGAAAGGAAAAGGAAACAACTTAAAAAAGTCTGTGTTGGGTCATTGACTGAATTTACTCTTGATTCAATGATTGTTTGGTCTTTAATAAAATAAAACAGAGACACATTCATTCCAGTCCAAGGTGCATCCTTAAATGCCCGCTGTCTTTCCAAACAAAGATATTCAGGTAACATCGATGTACAGCAGTAACTAGCAGAAGATCCTCACATGAAGTAGCTGATATTTGATATCGTTCATTAATGTCATAGGTTTAATGTGATTCCAGAAAGAATTTCCGAACTTTAACCTCATAGAAGTCCGTTAGCTGAAGTATTGACTTGTTGATCACAGGGCCGTAAAACTTACCCTGCTTTATCCTATTTTACTCTACTCTTCATGGGACCATTGTTAAAAAAAAAAAATTCAAACTTTTATAAGAAGACATGAAACTAGTGATTAAGATCATAAACTCAGAAAATAATGTTTTAATAAGGGGATAAAGCAGAGAAGAAAAGGGAACATTTTCTCATCGACTTCTCCAAAGCAACCAGTGGAGTCCGTCCCCTGCTGGCCATTATATAAATGCTGCTTTAAGACTCCTGTTATTGATTTAAACTGAGGCCAGGACGCATTATTACCTTTATAAAAAGTTCACACTTTAATGGTCTGTGTCCAGTTTTTTGCACTGGCAGCTTTTTCAGCACTCAGCATCATCAGTGTAAAAACACCCTGAGCATCTGCTGTTTTTCTGTCGCTGAGCTCACTGTGCTCTCAGTTGATACAGTCCAACTTTTAGAACAGCGCTGGGATCATCAATGTCATTTCTCCCTCGCGACCAATCAGGTCCCAGGGACAACATATGAGCTAGTTAGCTAAATCTGGTACAAAGCCTATTTTCTCTTCTTTGGATAATTTTTTGTTCACTGTCCCGGATTCAAATAAAATAGTGAACAACTTAACTAAATCAAGAAGGGGCAGAACATCTGACATCACCTTTGTCAATAAGAGTGATGAAGGAGAATCTCATCTGACTGAAACAATTTCCATATCTGCAGTTGCTGCTAATGGCAGGACACGATTCTTTAGTGTTTTGTTGGTGGTAATTCCTTGAACAAAACAAATATCAAGCACGTAAAGCTATTGAAAAAAGACCTGAGGCAAAAAGACACTGAGGCAATGAGCGCCTGAGCCAGCACAAAAAAGCGCTGTCAATGGGCACAGGCCCTAAATGTCATGTAAAGGCAAGATGGATGCTACATCCTTAATTGAACATTTCAATGCTAGTAAGTAAACAACTTTATTATTCCCTCTTGGGGCAAAAGGCAAGTTACTAATTGACCATGACCTGGATGACTGAGAACCTACTTAGACGTTTGAGCATGCAGCTTGTACATCAAAGATATTTACACAACATGATGTGCAGAGAGAGAGATTAATGCAGTTTTTATTTCTCCTTCAAAAAAAAACTTTTTTCTCATTTTCTTTAAAGATGACTTGTGTATCTAATTAACATGTGTTACTCCACATTGTAACCCTTTTTGGTCTTCTCTCTGCTCTAGTTGTCTCAGGTCCCTGTGGAGGCCTGCGGACAGTACGGGACCTGTGCTGAGTGTCTGAGCTCCGGTGACCCTCACTGTGGCTGGTGTGTGCTCTACAACATGTGAGTCTGCTTCCTTTATCTCCCTCCTGGTCGCATCAGACATTACAGCCGAGGGATTAAAACGGCAACATTAACAAGCAGCTCATAGAGAGCTATAAATAAGTGGTGGCTGCACGTGGTCGTATGATTTGAGCAGTTTAATATATCAGAGTTATTATACTCCCTGTGTTTCCCCATTATCAGCAGCTGGCAAGACAAACAGAGAACCAGAACAGGGTTGTTGGGCAGAGTGATCCCTCTTTAATAGCGCTATTTAGGACAGCAGAAACGGGATTGTCATGTCTGTGAGGCAGGAGGGCGACTGGTGTTAATGGTGGAGGGAGGGATTATAGTCTGTGAGGCACAGCGGGTGGACAAACTGCACCTCTACATACCCGGGGAACATTTTGAACCTGGCGGACGAAGCTTATCTCTCCCCATCTTAATTATCTGACCCCGAGGTTAGCTTGCATAATACCTCGATATGGAGCAAAGGGGATTCAGGAGATTAAAAACCCTGTGTTTCTGAACCAGCTGCTGAGTTTGAAGCTGACCTCAGCGAGGGGGATTTACCCACTGCCTCAACTTATGACATCTGCATTTCAGCTCGCAATATCTTGATGATGATCAGCCTTTTTTTAAATTGCAGCTCTCCGAGTTATCAAACAGCCAGTAAAGTGAGAGGGGGGAAAATAATGGGGTTTGTTTTAATCTAAATTACCTCATTAAGCAGTTGTTTTTTTTTTCCCTTTTTTCCTGAGTGCTGACTTTGTCTGCAAGACCCATTACACTGTTTATTTAAATTAAGGCTTTACACTTATCAGTGAATAGATAGGCTGCTGTTCCCTCAAGTAACCCAAAGTGAATCATTATCCCTCACATTGCAGAATGAGGCTACTTTATTTTTCTGTCTAATAAACCCAGATTGGGGTCTTTTTCAAGGCTCTGAATGTCTGTCACGCTGTGTCATGTAGACCTCTTTCAGGAGCTCACTTTCCCACCCCTGGCAGAGTGCCCCAGAGCACCTTTCTGACAGAGAGAGAGTGTGTGTGTGTGTGTGTGTGTGTGTGTGTGTGTGTGTGTGTGTGTGTGTGTGTGTGTGTGTGTGTGTGTGTGTGTGTGTGTGTGTGTGTGTGTGTGTGTGTGTGTGTGTGTGTAGCTGAACATGTACAAAGCCTGGAGGAAAAGGGAACAAATGGCTCCATCAGACAAAACACGGTGAATAATAGAGATGAGAGATGAAAGGCGTCCGTTTTTTTTTCCAAGGCACTTCAGCTGATGAGCGGTCAGGAGGTGACTGTCTGTACTCCTGTGGCGCTGGTCCGCCTCAAGGAGCCGAGCCAGCAGCAGCTGTCACCGGGTTTCCATACCGCCCTTATATTGTGCTGTAATTACAGCAGAGGCCTCGGTGCTCTTTGAGCTCTCTCAGGAGGTGCCGCCCCATCAGCAGCATCAGAGAGAGTGTATTAAGAACCGCCTCCCCTCCCTGTGCGCTTTACACATTTAACAGAAAGAGATGATGGTGTGCAGCCAAAACACAGAGAGTTTGCCACTTTGATTTAAGTCATCAGCTGAGAGACTCTTGTTCTTTTAAATGCAGCGTTTATGTTTAAACACAGCCTGCCTGTTACTATCTGAGCCTGCAGAGACTCACGTTCTTTAATAGAAATCTACATCAGCACAAGGCCAATCAAACTATCTCATCCACAAATCCCTGTTTCGAAAAACCGGGCGAATTGCTTAAAGTTTTAAACCGCTTTTCTATGCCTGGCCGTAACTTTTAATGTCCTTTTGCATAACATTTCTCCCTTACAAGACTATATTAAGGTCACACTCTGGTGCAGACACTCTAACTTCTTACTTTTAATTGCCTGTTGGGATGTAGGAGGATCCAAGAGTTGAAGTTTATTCTTCTGTTGCACTGTGGTAATTTGTGCTGAAGAAAAGCACAGGAAGAGTGTCAAAAAACAATCTGACTGAGCATCTGGCAGACAGCAATTGGCTGCGGATGTCCATGTTTAAACTGAACTTACCTAGATATACACAGTCAGATGTAATGTGTAAAGGTGACATGTTAACTCCTTTTCAGCAAGTTAAAATAAGACTCAGACATGAGACATGTCTGTTAAGTTTCTTGCCCAAAATCCACTCCATTTGATAACTCCTATAAACCCTTCTATTTAAAGTCGTGCTCAGAACAAGCTGTTTCTGTGTCTGTAGCTTTAAATGCAAATGAGCTGTGTTTGACCACGCCCCCTCTCTGGAAGGGCTTGGGTGGCTTCGGCTTCCTCGCTCCATGCCCTGTTGTTTACGGCAGACTCAGAGGGCAGAACAAACACCTAGCTGTGGGAGGGTCAGCCTTATCAGGGAGGGGTTACCGCCCTTTGTGATGTCAGTAAGGGAAATGCAAGGGGTGGCCAGTCGGGAAATAAGATTCATCCATGGGCTACAATACATGTTTACTCAAGTTATCAATATATAAAGCTGATGGTGATACATTTCAATCTCAGAGAGGTGGGTGATGTACTAACACTGCCTTATAGAGTCATAACCCAAGGATGGCTGTGTTTGCCGGCCAATCTTCAACATTAAACTTGCTGCGCTATTTTATGTATTTTGAAAAATTTGTCCCTCTTTCTCCGCAGGTGCTCGAAGAGAGATCGGTGTCAGAGGGCGGAGGAGGCGTTCCGATTTGCCACTGACATTGACCGCTGTGTGAAGGTCATTGCTCACCCTGACAGCATCGCTGTATCAGCACATAGTGTGCCTGTAAGTCTGCTTTATCATTGCACCAATCACTGTCACTCCACACACACTGAGCCCATGTATATGAACAATCGCTCAGAGTAGCCTTGTACATGAACAGTAACATGAATCGACATGTTCTTTCCACCCTCATAGACCTCTGTGAGACATGTAGACAGAAACAGAATTCACTGTTTCTCCCTGGGGGGTATTCACTCAGTTTCTTTTGCTGTAAACACGTGTAGTGTGGGACGGGAGACAAGTGAAAAAAATTGGGTGAGAGTTGTTTTTGTGGCAGTGAGCTGCTCTGTCTGCATCTCTGATGCATCTGCCAAAAGGTTGATTACATTTCCTGAAAGCTTAATTCAGCTGTTTCTGTGCTGTCATCAAGAGCATAGCGGACTGGAGTACAGTAGGAGCAGGGATTAGCTCAAGGAAATAGTTCAGCATAAAAACAAAACAACACTTTCTTTCTGCCGAGAGTTAAACAAGAGGATTAAAACCACTCTCGTATCTGTCTGTTAAATAGTTTATGAAGCTGCAGCTAGCTGCTGGTTACCTTTACTATGCACATACATTAGAGAGCAGCTAGCCTTGTTATGTCCAGCTTCCCTTTAGCACTTTTAAAAATCTGGTTATCCATTATTTGATCCATTCAAAAACACAAGTTTAAAAACAACTAATGAGTCTTTTACAGGAAGGCTACATTTTATTTCTTTGCCAATTGCAATAACTTCCTGGAGCCATCTTTTTACCTTTTTACAGGTCGACTTCTAATTAATGGGCTTAACAGTATAGTTAGTCAGATTTTGTTACCTTTGGACAGCTCCAAGCTAACTGTTTCTCACTACAATGCTGAAAGGCTAACTCCCCTCAAGTTCAAGTTTATCTCTTGGCAAAAAAGTGAATCAGCATATTTCAAACTTTCTTTAGTCTGTGAAAAGCAAGCAGCAACCTCTGTTGTTCTGAAATAAAGTCAGCATGGAAGTGCAAAAAAAAAAAAAGTGCAGTTCCTGGTGCGTCCACATGTGGCTGGCTTAAAAATCCAAGGAATCCCAATTAGAGCCCATATTATGATATAACAATTTAACAGCTAAAATTTAAATATTTACAGCCTGGTAAAAAAAAAAGGAGTTTAGGTCTCTATGGCTGAATTATTTTTCCCTGTGAGGATAGGTTTCAAAATACATGAGGGCGGTGCGAGGGGATCGAAGGGGGTGTGAGAGCTTGTGTGAATTGAACAAGTCAATAAATGTTGACCTGTGTCCACCTCAGTTCGCGAGCACTTCTCCCCGGCACTTATTGTTGCTATGAAAGCTAACGTCTGCTTCCCTCCGCAGTGACTGTAAGGCCAGTTTCTTAATATTTTCCTTTATTCAAGGAAATATCAAAGTGACATTAATGAAAATGGCGGAGTTCAAAACATTGAACTGTTCTCAACAGAGAGGGAGCTGTGAGCCTAGCGATAAAAAAAACAGCTGACACTTAAGTTTTTTTTTTTAAACGCTGAACTGCATTGGTTTTGAATTGTCAGGTTGTACGATGACAAGACATCGAGAAAAATTGGGGTATATTTTGTAGGCATAATGGTTAATGTATGATGCTTTAATCTGGTCTCAAATCGAGTTGCTTCACTCTTCTTTTCTTTAAGCTTCTGCTGGAGGTGAATAATGTTCCAGACCTCTCTGCTGGAATCACCTGTTCATTCGGCCAGCAGGCCCAAGTGGAGGGTCACGTCAACGGGAACAGGGTGATGTGTCTGTCCCCGGCTGGGAAGGAGGTCCCTCAGATCCCACAGGGGCAAGGTGAGACATAATACGATTTTTAAAAAACCCAACTAATAAATAGCGAAGAACACCTGCATATACAGACGGGGGGGTTGATGTCAATGTCAGGTGAATAAAACTTAAAACATTAACATTCCAGACACGTAAAAAACTGCCTCCATTTCAGATGGACCACCTTGTATTTTCTGTTTATCCAGAAAGTTTGATAAGTACCAAGGAGCAGTCAAATTTTCACAGAGCATATGCACTAATCCCTCAATTGAAGTTTCTGACTGAAGGTTTTTCTCACGACAACAGCAGCGTGCCCTTGCGGAGACGCAGACACCAGGTGGCTCTTTACAGAAATGTGATAAAAGTATTAACGCATTTTTTCTCATTTTGACCTCCTCTTTCCGCTCATTGTTTTCGTCCTTTCATCCACCCTCTCTCTCTCTCTCTCTCTCTCTCTCTCTCTCCCTTCACACTGTTCTCTCTCTCTCTCCCTCTCTCTCCCTTCACACTGTTCTCTCTCTCTCCCTCTCTCTCGCTTTACTTTTTCTCATGTTTTTAATTCCCTCTCTCTCCGGACTTTCATCACGCTCTCTCTGCCCGCTTCTCTCTCAGACTGGGCCGGCGTCGAGCTTCGTCTGAACTCGAAAGAGACGGGCCAAATGGTCGCCAGCACAGAGGTGAAGTTCTACAACTGCAGCACACATAAAACGTGAGTCCAGCAGCTGCCACCCCCCCGCCAGCCTTCCCTCCCTGCCTCCCCCAGCCTTTGATTTGTTCAATAAATGGAAGAGCACAACTTAATTTAGGGCAATGATGTACTGACGCTCGCAGCTCCACTTAAGATCGGCTGTTAGATAACCTCTGAGTTCAATTTATCTGTCAGGTTTCATTTGAATCAACATGATGCATTCGCCATGGCCTGTTTGTTTCGACTTTGCTTAAACTGGCAGTTTGTGGGCTTGTTGCTCAAAGCTGTAAACACCGCTAACTACTGATGTCATGTAATTCAATCTCAGCAATCTATTTTAAATGCTTGGTTCATTTGCAAACGATTTATACTCTTCTAATGCATTACCTTATACGTATTCACCCCTTAAAACTTGTCTATTAAATACTCACTTTTCCTAACAGAGCAGCTCTACTTGTGCGACTTAGTGTGCTTCATTGTAGGCCAGCATTCCCAAAGGAGCCCCAAAAAGATAAGCGGTAGACTCACCTCTTTTTGACTCGCCTCTATCCCGAGAGGCCCCGCTGCAGAATTGTGTTAACTAGATACGAGACATAAAGACAACTTTGATTTTTTTTAGCCTTCCTCTGGTGCCTTGAGAGTAGATAAAATGATGTAAATTAAAGAGGGGGCTTCATTTAAATGCTCATCTGTTTTTTTTTTTTACCCCACCAATACATAAGCTTCCTAACTGTTCAGGGAAACTGCTTTGACTTTGAGCCATTATGCTAATGTCAACTATATTTACCGTAAGAGTAAACTATGACAAGGGTGTTTCTATCTGAATAACAATAGCTCACAGTGCTACAAAAGCTGGAGCTTATTAGAAAGGATGACAATTACCGTGGCAGACAGCGTTTGCCAGCTTTATGTAAGGTCTGCAAATCAAAATCTTAATGAGATTTCACTGCAACATGAGACAGTTTAACAAAGCAAAGGAAAGGTCAAATCATACCATGCAAATTCAATTTATACTTATCGTACATAAGATGACATATTGAATATCGACTTTTCATGCGGGCAGCTAGTAATTAAAGAATACATAAATACATAGTGTGGCTCTTTGTTCAGATGCTGCCATGAGAGCCTAGCTTAGCTTATTTTGACTCTTTTATCACTTTTTAACCACAAACGCCATATTTCTGTCCCAATAAGTGATATTCAACAGCATGCTAGTGTTACAGGATTAGAAAGGAAGTGATATTAACAAAAACACAGAAAAACACTTTTGCTGTCTTGTGCTGCCAGTTTGCCCATGTATGTAGATGATGGTTGAGCTCTCGTTCTACTCTGCTGCTGGCTTTACAGCAGAAAGAATGTCACCCGGCCACTTTGTGGTTTTCAAAGAAGTTCAGTGGTTTAATACTTTTCAATACCAAATGTGTTTAAAGCAATATAATCTTTGTTATTTTAATTATTGTTAATTTGATTTTTACACACATTGTATCAAAGATTAAAATACAAATACTTTGTACCCATTACACTAAACAGCATGACCATTCCCAAACATTTGGATGTTAAACCGGCTGTGAAAAGGGCTGTTGGCATGCCAAGTTAGATACAAACATCTGGACTTGTCTTTTGCTGACATTAAAATGAGGAAAAATGATCACAAAAAAAAGAAAAGAACACGACCACTGGGCCAAGTTTAGAATCACTCTGCAGTAAGAGTCTCACTGAGACTGTGTCATCAGATACGTCCATCTTTCTACAAGGATGGGAACTTCAGCGGTCACCAGTGTAAAATATTTATGACATAGATGACATATTTAACCCTGCAGTGAACCGATGTATTAGCACAACATTTCAGACATGGTGCAGTTCATCCTGACAGTCCTTCATAGAGCTTTATAACGATTGAACCGTCTGACTTTCTCACAATTTGCTTATTTATGTTGCTATTTCTCTTTATTTCTAACCAACTACTTCCCCACTCACACCTGATACTAGGTGGTGAATATTTTCTTGTAAATGTGTTACTGTAATATAACTGACAGGTGTACACGTACGCTTCATCCACCCTTCAACTAAATTATACTGCAACACAAGCTTAATAAAGGGATATTCAATAAGTCTACCCTGGGAGCCAACATTTGATTGATGTTGCATTCACAGCCAAACCCAGGAAATTAGCCTGCAGTGGATACACACACCACCTATTCAAAAATGCTCTTTGACTGCGACATGAATGCCCCAGTATAACCAGATTAAGCCATTAGAGAGAAACAGTGGGAAGCTCATCACATCCGCTCCACACCAATACGGCTTCCATTAGCTGCAGAGTGACCCCGTGAACTCCTGTGATTAATATTTCAGACCAAACACACTCCGAACCGAGCACCTCTTCCTCCACCACCTCCCCTCTCCAATTCCACCCCCCTCCAATCCCCCCCCATATCACCTCAGCATCAAACCTCCATAATTAATTATCCAGTGTTTGCAGCTCCCTGCCAGTCCAGTTCTATTAATACCCAGCCCCCAAATTTCTCTCTTACACACAAGCACACGTTTTTATGTCCACACTGGCCCTGGGCGACTAATTAATATCAAAATTTAATGGTGCTGCACTACATTTATTGGCATTTGTAGCTTGATATGAGCTGCAGTATTGAAGCGCTGCTAGAGTTTTTTTCTAGTCTGCTTGTGGTTTATCTTATTTCGGGACCGAATTTAAGGGAACAGACTGTGATAGTACACTGATCTGTTTTCTGCACAGTGGTACACCTCTATTATACACAGCAGAGTCCACACCAGCCCCTAAAGGAGAGAGAACATGTTCAATTTTCAGCTCTCCAATTGCACTGTTTGGTGGATCAAAAATGACGCATCATCCATCCCCGTACTCCCATCTCTTCACCCAGAGCTGCATCGAAATAATGCCTGTTTCCCCACTTCAATTTGATTAAACCCAGTGTAGCTGCATTGTTGTTGAAGAACGTTAACTCGCAACTGACCATTGGCTGCAGTTCGCTGAATCAGAGCCAAAAAAGTTGTGCCCTTCTACCCATCAAAAATTGAGTTGACAGTGTCACTGTCAGATTTTGGATTGAATCCAGAGTCGCAGGGTTGCCTTAAGAAATTATAACTATAATAAATAATAAAATACAAGGCTCGTGGTTGCTCTATATCAGTAACAAGGCTACTGTTTGTCCTTGTGAATGAAGTACATTTTAACACTGTTACAGCTGTTTAAAATTGCTGCAAGGATACAAGGACACTTGAATAGTTACCTTCCTGACAAGACGTGGTGCTTTGGTCATTTATTGACGCCTGTTACAAAAAGACAACCATTCATTATGTCTGCATAGAAACTGGAAACACACCTGCTCTTTTTATGACTGACAAGATCGATGTATAAGAAAGCTTTAATTCTTCAATAGTCTTCCATTTGAAATGCTATCCAACCGGGAGAAGATGACAGAGAATGCATAGGGGGACAAAAGGGATTCTTGTTTCTTGGATGCTGTGTCAATGCATTAGTCGATAGGCTACAGGAGGTATTTTTTAAACTCTGCAGTATGTAGTCAAGTGTTCATTGTGTCCTGCAGGTGTCTGTCCTGTGTAAACAGCACGTTTCGCTGCCACTGGTGTAAATACCGCAACCTGTGCACCCACGACCCCAGCAGCTGTTCGTTCCAGGAGGGCAGAGTCAACGCCTCAGAGGTATTTTATATAAACATGAATCTAAAGACGATACTGAATAACATTGTCTGTGTAGGTTCTCAGTCATCAAGGTCATGGTCAATTCAAAGCTTAATCCAAAGGCAACTGGACTCGGTTGAAGATCTTGAAGTTGCCTCAACGATACGGACTAGCAGTTTTATTTTTCTATTTTGAGCTACAATGGAATACACATATTACAAAATATTACTCTACTTTAAGTTTTTTAAATAAATATTTAAGTCTGTGTGGACGACCATCTGTCATCAGCACTACTGAGCCTCACTGCACAGTTGATAAAAAAAACTGACTGGGTATTAAGAGGCTTACAGAACTACAGAAATAAATTATTATCAATATTATTGCAGGAATAGAGAATTAAAAAACATAAACTAAAAGTATGACATAATAATCTTGTGTTATTTAGCATATAGGCTACTACATGTCTGACAATGTGACATATGGTTTCATTGTGAGAGCAGAAGAATTTAGCAATAGCATGCAAATTCAATTTGGATTAATTTATTAATCCCGGGGTCACATGACTCCTGCATGTTTCTATAAACATTCACATGTATTAACACAGATTACAGACAGTTTACAATTATAGAGGGATCAAATGATTGACAAACACTAGTATAGAAAGTAGTTATGTAAATATTAATATAGAAACTAGTTATGCAAATACTTCTCATACATTATGCATGAGAGTAATATTAAGGCAGAACAGCAGAATAAGCGTGAAAACATGTTTTTCTTTCTTTCAATGGTGCAATTATGTTTGTTTATATGTTTTCTTTTTTCACAGAACTGCCCTCAGCTCCTTCACTCCGGGGAAATTCTCATTCCAGCCGGCGAGGTCCGACCCATCACCCTGAGGGCCCGAAACCTTCCGCAGCCGCAGTCGGGCCAGCGGGGCTACGAGTGCGTCGTTCATGTGCAGGGTGTCAGCCACCGTGTCACGGCGCTGCGCTTCAACAGCACCAGCGTGCAGTGCCAGAACAGCTCGGTATGACCTCAAACACTCCCTGTGGGACTCTCACAGCTGTCAAATGAGGCGCACAGCTTGGTTGCTGTGTAGGCAAGGTACACGGGGTACATCACTGAATACCGCCCGAGGTGTGGAGCATACTGAGGAGAAAGTAGAGGAAAGGGAAAGCGAGGGTGACGAGGGAAAAGTAAAAAAAAAAAAAAAAAAAAGTGGCAGAAGGCAGAAATGAAAATAAGGACAGAAAACACATGAAAAGCAAAAACTGTTGTACAGCTCAAGTCAAAAAGACAACCATGACTTCAATATGACCTTATCTTTTAAGATGCGTAATCTTAATCTTAATCTATCCGAATGACTGCTGGCGAACACCAAAAGCCATTTAAAATTGGCTGTCACTCTCAAAAGCTATTGTCGTCACATGATGGCTGATGGGTTTGCAGATTAAATCTTAAGTGTTCACAAAGCATAAATGTAATACTCTTAGCCCACACTTACAGTTTTTGGGTGAAGGCAGACAATTTTTATGAAAGTTTCGTTGCGTAATGCAGATCACTCTTATCTGATTCTGCAAATGAAGACAAAATCTGTCAACATGGGGCACAAGGTTGGATGTTGGAAGTGTTCTTGTACTCGTTTGTAGTCTGAGTCAATCAATCAATCAATCTTTATTTGTAAAGCGTCAACTCAAAACAAGTGTTATCGAGAGACACTTTACAAAAAGCAGGTAAGAGACCTTACTCTTTGTTTTTTAATAGTAGTGTTGTTCACTGAGATTTCTGCAGGTAGACTTTTAACTAAGAGTTGTTTAGCTTTTACCAATCTGTATGAACAGACATCTGCATATAAGTGTGGCTAAAATTCTGATGTTCTGAAAATGTCTCATGTTCCTAGACAGACTGTAATCTACAACGAGAAACAAAAAAGTCTTTGGCAAAGAAATCCTTTATGGTTTATCAGAATAACTGCCTATGTCACCAGACAAAAAGCCAAAAGTTGTTGGACCACTAAAGGCTGTACGGCCTTCAAACTATACAGTAGCTGATGGGTTCTCAGATTACACATTGTCAGATTTTGGAAATTTAGCGTTCAAAAGCATAAATGTGACATTCCCAGCACACTGCTCCACTTTGGGTAGGATGCAGGAGGTTTTTTTTTCCGGAGTTTTAGTCGCACAATGCAAATGACAGGCTAAATTACAATGCGAGGCACACCTACTACACTGTGACAATGAATGAAAAGGCCATTTTCCTCAGATGTGGATGATCGGCCACCCCAGCCAGGGTTTGTGTCTCTACATGTCAAGGAGGAGAGGAGCAGACAAGCATGGCAGAAATGACAGATGGTTAAAAGCCTCGTCTCTCTGCTGCCCTTTCATCCTCTTACCCCCCCCTCCCCCACACACACTCTGTCTGTCTTTGTACCTATTTTCCTGTACTCTATCCTGACTTTCTCTCATTCTGGATCCACTTACAGCACACTCGCTCACTCTCTGTTTCTGCTTTATAGTACATGTACGAGGGTGTGAGGATCAGCGACCTGCCCGTGGACCTCTCCATCGTATGGAACGGCAATTTCATCATCGACAATCCCGAGAAGATTAAAGGTGCTTCTGCCATCCATCACTGCCAGGCCAGAGAACTGTAAAGCACTCAATCCACGGGGGATAGATGGGTCATATAGATCACATCAAGGCTTCAAAAGGGCCTTGGGAGAAAGTTCACAATAGCAGGGAGTGTTATCAGAAAGCACCCAATCACTTGTGTGCCCCAGGGGGATGAAGGGTGAATCTTCATATTTGCTCAGTTTGGTTTCCTCTCCATCATCGTGCCATGAAAGGTGTTTGTCAGTTGTCATTGTGGGTAGAACATTAAATACATCCTCCCAGTCAAGGGAGTGACGGCCATGAATTTTAACAGGCCTTGTCATTACTGCAAAATATAGGCAGTTTACAGGAGGGAGGATGTAAGAGACAGACTTCAAAGAGAGGTCTATGGGATTACTTTGGCATCCGTTTCTTCATTCTTCCAAGAACAAATTCACACAAACATCCGGTTTATGAATTTGATTTAAATTCACAAGCAATAATAATAAGAATATTCTTGTTATTGTTACAACTTCAAATTGAAATGGATTGAACTGGAGTCTGACATAATGGACCAACATAAAATAGCCCATACTTTTTGAGGAGTAAGGGGGACATAACATATTCTTAACTTATTTACTGCTGGAAATCTGAAAGGTATCAAGTGCTGTGAAAACTCAAAAATAAGATCAGGTGCAGTCATTTGCTTTCAGGTTAGTAGGTGTGTATCCAAAGGATATCTGCTTTTTAGACAGCTTCTGAGAAATAATCCACTATTAGGCTGAATCCCAAAAATTTCAAACTTGACAATAGTGTTGTAGTCAAGACCATACTAGACCAAGACATACCTGAGACCGGAGAGCTCCGAGACCAAAACAAGACCAAGACATTTAGGGATTGAGACCGAGACATGACCATGACCATAAGTATCACAGAAAAATTATCATATTAGACAACACCGGAAAGGTTGTGGCCATAACCAGGGGAAAAGTAACTCATTATGAATGCATTAAAGTTATTTGTTCTTTAAGAAAGAGGCGTTTTCCTTTGAATCAAAGTAATGACATGGAAAAATAGCCTATCAGCAGTGGTCTGACCGGTCTTGCTTTTAAAATCCTGAATCCACCCAGTCTGAGACAGAGACAAGACCAAGTAATAATGCGGTCTTGAAACCTTCAAAAATTGTTCTCTAGACCAGTCTTGAGACCAAGACTTATTCAAAGTACTACACCACAACTTGGACATTAATAAGAATGACATAACACTGAGTATGTGGTGTTTTATGAATTTATAGTGTGACATTTTGTGTATGTACAAAATGCCAGATGTAAACTAGATAGGCCATTAAAGTATGATACAAGAGCTAACATGTCATACTTAACGGCCCAAAATGCATTGTGGCTTCTTTAAAGCATAAGGGCAGACATCCATTTTTATGTGATATCTTATTAAATTTAGAGAATATCATTTAAAAAACAGAATTTGGTTTTGGTGGAAAGTGAAAAAAGCCATCATAGCAGACAAGAAGCCTTTCTGTGGTGCCTCCAAGTCTGAAAAAATGTGAATTCCCAAAACTACAAATGTTCCGGGTTTTATGCTTAAATTAAAAACACATATCAGCTTGACTTTGGCTCCTATCAGCCTGATTACTGAGCCTATTGATAGCAGTGATATGGAACATACATGCTAACATGCAAAATCACTTCATTCTGACTAACAGGATATCTTCTGTGTTTTTTTTCCCCACAGTGAACCTCTACAAGTGCAGCGCCCAGCGGGACAGCTGTGGGATGTGTCTGCGGGCGGAGAGGAAGTTTCAGTGCGGTTGGTGCAGCGGTGAGGGCCGATGCACCATGAAGCAGCACTGTCCTCCAATCTCCCCCTACGCCAGCCGCTGGCTCAACCTCTCTGCCAGGAACGTCAAGTGTACCAACCCACGCATCACTGAGGTGAGCTGTTTGTTTGGCCCTGTGGCTCAGCCTGTGGGTCCATTAGTCAGTCTGGTAGTCAGTCAGTTTAAAGATCAAGTGTTAACATATGGGGTATTTAAGTTATACACAAATGAGATGTGAGTCTCTGTAGCTGACTGTAAGATAAGAGTGTGTGAAGAGGCATGTCTGATAGAGACACCAAGATAAAAATGTTGATACAGTAGCTGAATCTACTTCATTTCAATCTGTTCTGTCCACAGGCTGTATGTAAGAAATAGACGCAGCCAACTTTTGATTCATAATTTGTTTTTACACTTCTACTTAGAGGCCTCATATTTGGCATTTAAGCTGGTACCATTCTACAATTCTACAATTCACTTAGCAGACGCTTTTATCCAAAGCGACATACATCAGAGAGAACAACACAAGCAAGGATCTGAAAAAAAGGAACAATGTCAGTAAGAGCAAACGATCAGCTTTGAGTCCGATTGGACACACAGGTGCTGACAGGCATTGCTCAAAGGCAAAGCACAACATTGACGGCAGTTCTTGAGAGCTCCAATCAGTATAGAAACCATCTTATAAGTCATCGTTATCAAACAAAAACAATCGTGACAACCATCATCATCATCAATGATATCGAAACCATCATCATTAAGTTAGTAGGTATTCATGAAAGAGCTGGGTCTTTAGCTTTTTCTTAAAGGTGCAGAGGGACTCTGCAGATCCAATGGAGTTTGGAAGTTCCTTCCACCACCGGGGGGCAACAGAGGAGAAGAGTCTGATCAGAGACTTAGGACCCTGTTGTGAAGGTTGGATTAGACGCCTTTCATTGGCAGAGCGTAGTGGGCGGGAGGGAGTGTAGACCTGGACCCATCATGATGTTCTGGAGCCAGGAGCTCAGGGAAGGCCTTAGACAATGCTTTATAATCAGCTAATGCTAGCACTAACTTTGTTCACAAGGATGTAACCTTTAAGACACCTTGTGATACTTAAGTGAGTTTAATGTTGATGCTAACGTTAGCCAAAACAAGCTCTAAAAATGTACTTACAGGGAATATAGACAGGAGATTACCGTCTTTTAGTACAACCAAAATTTAAAACAGGGCATTTTACAGGTAGCCATAGAGGTGCAAATCAGTCGTCAGACCTGCGTATAGGGTGAATGACTGATCGAAGTTTCCCTCAGGATAGCTGGCGTTCAGTCTTGCAGTTTTATCTGGTAAAGCGAATGATAAGAGGTCTTGGGGGCAGAGCGATCTCAACCTATTCCCAAACTTTAAATGGGTTAAAAGCCCGGCTCCAGTTGAATTTGAGCCCCCTAGTGGGCCACTTTTGGTAAGCAGAACTGGCGCTGCGGGTAAACCCAGTTTTATCCTCTATTTTGCTCTGTGGTACCGAACTTTTAAACCGGACATGATGCTTCACTGAGGAAGACTTGAATCTAATAAATTACTCAGCATCTCAGCTCAAAAATTAAGTGTATCATTTAGGTGGAACATGTGACAAACACCTCATAGAGCTTAATAAAAGCTGCCTCTTTGCAGCAACCTGTGGAGTCTCCCCCTAATGGCTGTAAAGGGCAATGCAGGTTTAAAGCATTTTTGCATTGTCTTCACTTTTTAGTCATGGAAGCTGCATCCACAAACAAACCCAGCAACTTCTCATACAAACTCGAACCTTCTGACTCTCCAGAAAGTAACTGTTGGATAGTTTTGTGCGTCACCAGAATGTGGACACTATGTCGATTTATTGTTAATAAAATAGATTTAAAGCTTCTTCAACATCATGCTAGCATAGTTTAGCTTTGTTCCTTTGTTTCTTTTTGTTGTTTGGCTGTTAGAGCTTTGGGGATTTCAAGTTTTGAACAGCAGCCCATAAACACCATAAATATCCCAATATCATAAATATCCACTTACTGGCCTGGTTTTACTCTGTATATCAGAACATTTCAAACTAACACATCAAATACTAACCTCCCAGTTTCCCAAGTGGCTGTTTACCTGAGACCGTCGCACATTTTCTCCCCTCGCCGACTGCATACTGAAAGTGCTTGACAGCTAAACGAATTCAGTTTGTTTGGAGAGGGTGATGGATCTTTTATGTCACAAACTCCTGTTCATCCTCCTGAATGAGGCACAGTGGGTCAGGCACAGAGATGCAAGGCTCTGCCACATCAAAGAGCCGCGAGCCTTTGATGTTGCTGTCACGTTATTAGTGTTTCTGAAGGAGCTTCGGCAGAATGAATCGACCCCCAAGTCCTGCTCCGCTCAGGAGTGGAGGGAGTATTGCTCCGACATTGCTCCTGTTCTGCTCGGCAGGTCCGAAGGTGTCCTGCTGGGATGGTTAACTTTTCACTGAATGCTTTTCTCAAGGCTCTCTCATTCACTGAATTATTCATTAAAGTTTGTTTTGAATTATAGTGGATTGCAAGGCTTTTTGAATAAACCCTGCTAGTGTGGGAATAAAGGATTTCACGAGGAGTTCAGGTAGATTTACCTAATGTTTACGAACACCCATTGTGCAAAGATTGATTATCATGTAGAGTCGGCAAGTTGTGGAGAATCTAAAAACATGCACCAGGGCAAACTGAGCCGTCTTTGATGTAACACTTGCACCGTGCTAAAGTTTTTACTAAAAAAGGAAATAATTGAGATTCTGTGAGAGTACTCTTTTTTTATTTTAGACACATGTCTGACCAGGTTTGATATAGGATAAATATTTAACCATGCTTTTTTTACGCCTCTCTGACTGGAAATCCATTAAAACCTCCTAACTCTAAACTCTAAAACTTCTTATGTAACTTTGAACTGATTTTGGATTGGTTGTGCCAGATGGAGCTTCACCAATGTGATATACCTTCCTCAGTTATCGCAGGACCGGGGTTACCCTCATCATCAAACGTTTTGTAACACATATTTCTCTAATATGAGAATATCTTGAGGACAGGGGGTTTACCATTTTGCATCTTATACTGCAGGGGTTCCAGAATGCGGAACTGTATAGACCTTCATTATTTCTAACAGCCAGCAGGGGGCGACTCTAATGAATGCAAACCGAAGCAAGACTTCTATGACACCAGATGGAGAAATGACCACGCTCTTCATTTGATTTATTCCCTCAGTAAACATTTCATGGCCTCTGCTGCAGGTTTTAAGCATTTTCAGTACAACTTGATGTTCGTATCATCAATGATTGATTTTTCCAAATTTTGAATATCATTTTCAATAAACCAGGGGATGCTTTCAGTGTGTGTTGCTATCTGTGATTGGCAAGTCACAATGACATATGACATAGACCAGCAACCATTGCAGGGATCGAACACTGTAAGTCCACCCTGTTCTCCAAATATGCTTCTAAAAAAAGAAGAGCCAGAAGGCAAAAATGCTGAACTTGAGGCTTCAGAAGAGGTTCTTAAACTAATGTTGGTCATTCCCAGTGCATTTACACTGTCTGTCATCTCTTTCTTCATGTAACTAATATGCTCTCATTCTTCTCATACAGGTCAGCCCTGTATCAGGACCTCTAGAGGGGGGCACACTGGTCACCATCCAGGGCCTGAACTTGGGTCTGTCATTCTCTGAGCTGCAGGGCAACGTGGAGGTGGCGGGTGTGCGCTGCACCCCGCAGGAGGAGGGATACATCACTGCAGAACAGTAAGAGACACTCCTCCTTAAACCCTCCCCTTCACAGACACGCATTGATTCATAATGTACTGTATGTATACAGTATATATATATATATATATACTGTACAGATGCACAAGAAGAAAATAAACACTCTTCTTCTTCTGCCTCACACTAATATCCTCACAGACTCTTGCACAGTGTGTGAATAAGCCTCGTCCCTGTGAAGCCTCATCAGGTTGCAGGATTGTGCGCGGGGCTTTGCATTGCTCTGGTGCAGTCGGAGCCAAAGGAAGAGACGGTCTTCTTTGTGTCGTTGTCGTTATGAGGCTGTCAGCGCAGCTGTAATTGAAATGCGCTGCATGTCGCTGACTGGAGGGACAATCTGTTAGCCATGTGTTTCTCTCACAGCCATGTAATGCGATTGGGCTCAGGCTGCGGGGACTTTATTTATATCCTTGTAAAAAGAGAAAAAAGAACATACCAGCAGAAAATTGGAAAACTCTGGTGATGTATGAATAGGAGGGCCGGGCAGGGACAATTCATTGGGTGCTCTTATTGTATCGGAGGGACGCAGTGTTTCTGTGCGTTTGGCCGGGCCATTCATTCGGCACACACAGTGCTTTAAAACACGGCATTACAGCTGTTACAACCATTAATTTCAGCATTGGGTCAGTTGCTGTAATGACTTATTCATGGCGCACTTTATCTTATTGACCCGACAGGCAATACTGATTTACTGAAGAAACCCCTGTGTTGTCATGGCAACCGGAGGTAATGGTGGGTGGCGATGGTGCCGGAGATGAGGAGGGGGGACAGTTTATCATTTGAGTTATATTGCTGTTATAGGTTTCCCATTAGGAAGAAAGATGGCCCGCCGTATTGACCCACAACTTGTATGAAAGTCTGCCTCAATCACAGCGGCCAGCAGAGGCCATCTTCACCCCGCTCGATTCATTTCAGATGTGACACAGAGCACTGATGCTGCTGTTTGTGTTATTACCTAAATGCATGACACTATGTCTGTCTATGTATGGTTTTTCCTTTTTTTTGTGCATTGACGTTCATTTATTTTTGTTTTTCAGGATTGTTTGTGAGATGGCTGCGGCTCCTAAAGGAAATGCACCAGGTCCGGTGAAGCTGTGTGTTGGGGAATGCAGACCAGAACTACGTGCACAGTCCCCACAGCTCTACTCCTTTGTGGTAAATCTGACACTGAAAGAAACATTCATCTGTCCATTTTCTCTTAAGAGAGTGTTGCAATGATTTAGGCTGAACATGAGAATCCTGGTGAAAGAAATCCACACAAATTGATCTAATCAACCTACAATCACAAACAGAGGAAGAACCAGGGCGCTAGAAGTCAGTCACAGTTGGCGTTGTTAGATAAGTTATTCTATATGATGGCGTCATACCCTCTACTGCCCAGATTTATATTAAGTTCATTGTATTTTATTGTTTAGGATGATTAATACTTAGAGTATGAACAGCAGCTCAACCTGATTTCAGAACATTTTACAACTCAGCAGACAACAAACCTCCCACCCAGAGTTCACACAAACATTTTCATATGACCAGTTTATGGTTTAGTATAGATAGAGCACTGAAGATTCTTACAGGTGATGAGTAGATGCATGCATATTAATTCCCACTTTAACGTACACTGTAGACATTCACACACTTGACTGCTAAACAGAGTTACGTACATTACAGATGGTCATGTGGAGATTTTGTCTCCTGTCTGTCCACTTCTGCACATAGGCTACATGTAATGACACGCTCCCTCATTATCGCTCGACCATATGAGCTCAGTTTTCCTCTCTCTCTCTCTCTCTCTCTCTCTCTCTCTCTCAACATTGTGTCATAGGTATTAAAAGAATAATCTCTAAAGGATATAATCTTAACTTCTCCAAACCCCCTCAATGTGTGCACAACGCTGGAAAAGCTCAGCCCTGCTGTGAGTTGTATCACTCTGCAGGACGCTTAATAAAACAAGTTACAGACTGCTAGAGTAAACAAACCAAAATGTACGACTTCCCAGGGAAGAACACAGAATTTCATATTTGTTAATCTGCTTTTGGCTGGGATGTGAGCAATTAGCCGATGGAACGATTACATTTTGTCACTCTCACTAGTCAGCACCAACATTTCCATAGGCATGAACTAAATATTATTGTTTTTTATGAATGTAGTCCACAATGCAACCATGTGTTGTGGAGAATGTGCCATTTAATAATCTACATATCAATAAGAAAGGCTACAAGCAACATGGTTTGGACAGTTAAGCCGTGTTAAATAAACAAAGCTCAATTTAAACTGTTTAAACTGTTTTTTCAGTGTTTTTCTTGCTTTAGGATCAGTCGACTTGCCTTATTTCATTTTAATGGACAGATAAAAAAGTTGCTAAACACATAATTACTTTTGACCATTCTACTTTTTTGCAGTATTATTAAACGTCTTTTTGATGGGGGTTACATTTTATTAAACTCTCTGTTTTGTACCTCAGGAAGCTCTTCATCCACATCCTTCTAAAACTCTTTTTCATAACTTTTTAACACTGAGGGGTTTTTTTTCCAGCCAAAGCCGTGAGAAGAAAAGCTTTCAGAATCAGATAATTAATAAGACACACTGCATTCAGTGTTTGACCTGTGTTGAATGAAAAATTAATGACTTTTCATTCTCCTCAGACTCCTTCCATGCTGGCCCTGACTCCAGGCAGAGGACCTGAATCCGGGGGCACGAAGGTCACCATCGTCGGGGAGAACCTGGGCGCCGGAAGCACTGTTAATGTGTACTTTGGAAATCAGACCTGTGAGCTGTACAGGTGAGTCTGATAATAACATAACCCGCTAATAAAACCATGAGTTGGTTAGAGACGGAAGTGAATGTAAAAAAATAGCATGAAAACACATTGTGTCCCACTCAAATGATAAAATCCTTCTCCTATCATGATACAACAATAAGCCTTTTGTAGAGACCATTTTTCATGGGGCTTCCTAGGGGTTATTCAGACTGGCAGTCAAAGATTCAGGGCAAAAACTCCCTTTTCCATGTTTAAGTTTCTAATCTTTCTAGAAAGTTAGGAACTGTATCCACTAAAGCATTTTTTCCATAGTGGCCACAACCTCAATTTCAGGATGCTGATTACTTACTAATGGTAGATTACAAAAGTTGGCACTCCTGCTTCCCTTGGTAGTGACTGTTACGTCTGGCTTCATTTGTTCTGTGTGCCTTCTAATTACCTTTACTCAAGGACATTTTACAAAGAAGATGTAAAAACAATGGAAAGGGATTGTGTCCCAGCATTAGCAGCGGCTCTTCACTTGGAAATTGTATCCTCAAAAAAATGCCAAGATTAGTTCATTTTTGTTGTAAATGTTGATATCAGAAGTCCCATCCCTCTAATGTCGATTGGTTGATGAGGTTGAATTTCAGATTGACGAGCGCCGCTGTGTTTCAAAAATTGAACTTTTTTTTTAAATGATTAGACACACAGAACTGCATTAGTTTTGTACTGAAAACAGGTGCTTTTCTGCAAGTGCAAAAAAGGGCATTAGGGGTCACAAGCCCTGAAGACACAAGAAGTAAGCTGCAAAATAACGTCAATGACTGGATGCTTTCTCATCTGAAATGCAGTTTTGTGTTCATAGTGATTTAGAAAGAGCTACATTTCCGTCAGATGATGGTTCCGCCTCTTTTTGTTCTACACAGGAGCTGTCTTCCTATTTACCTAAAAAAATGATCACCTGAAGAAGACCTCTGGTTGAAATGTTGTGTTTTTGATGGAATAAACACTTACTGTGGCATTTGAGCAAGTATTCCTCAGTCTCTTCCTACAAACGCCCAATGCCCACTGAAACGCTAAGAGATGTTACAACTGGAACTTCAAACAAAAACAGGAAACCTCCTTACACCAAAAATCTTATCCCTTACCCAAAGATTTGAAAATAGTGACTGAGACCTTACACTCAAAAATACATGCGATAACTGAAGCACTAAAACAGTTGTGAAAAAGGCTAACAACTTATTTTTGCAACCAGAAAAGTCACCCCCTGTTGGCCATCAGAAAGAATGCAGACTTAAGCTGCTTCTTCATTGGCTTCACTTGTAAAATCAAGAGGCTGCATCAACGTCTCATAACGCACTTTTGTTTTGACCTCATATTCCTTTGGACTTCAGATTCCCAGACACTAAACTGAGAATAACTCCAGCAATATTAAAGCCTTCTTTAATCTCTCTAAAACACAGGAAGACATCACTCTATTTAAAGCAGCACACTTTAGATACAATTAAGTGAACCTTCATTAAGTGAGAAGTCTTAGCAATGATTGGAGAGGAGGTGATGAAACCCACAGCGGTAGGTATTGTTCTCTGTGTATTTATAGATATCTATTTAAAGTTCAAAAAGCCTCACATGGTAGGAGTCAGGAGGGTGAGCAGAGGAAGCCATTAGCTGGAGCGCTCTCTAATTACACTGTTCATCCCTAATGTGTCTGTAACGAGGAGGAGATGGGACAGTCTATAATGAATCCTCTCCTCTTGTATAGAGGGGCATGGCTCATGTTGGGGTGAAGTCAGAGATATGCCACCAAGCAGCAGCACCGAGTGGGGCAGTCTCAATCACCCTTTCCTTTTTTTTGTTTTCCCACCAGGAGGACCATGTCAGAGATCGTGTGCTTCTCTGCTCCGTCTGTGACGAGAGCCGGACCTGTGCAGGTCAGTCTGAGTGTGGACTGGGCCAGAGTTCCTGGGAGTCTGGCCTTCGAGTACATAGAGGACCCCACAGTCCAGCGAATTGAACCCCTGTGGAGCATTACCAGGTAACACTCAGTCGTACTGTATATTAAGTATGTAAATAACAGATTTAAACAGTTTAAAACTGGGTATATCAAGTTACAGTAAGACACATTTACAGTATATGTGACGTAGCAACAAACAACATGAGAAGATGAAACATGAGTACAGGTCTGTTGCTGAACTATCCAGGATCTGGTGGATCTCTTAAAAGTGGATAAGTTCACAGTAAGTCCCCAAGGAGACAAAACAGTGCATAGTATGATATCGTGATTATGGTGATGATAATTAACAGATTATTCAATTGTAAAATACATTTAATTAATACTCTGTACTGCTTTACTGAGTATGCTGTTTGACTGCACCACCACTGGAACAGAAGCATTGCATACGGCACAAATCGTCATTTTGGTTGGACATTTCCACTGTGAAATATTCACAAATGCAAACATTTTACTCTGACCAGCGTTATAGTGTCTGTAAGCATCACACTAAGCTTGTCTGCTTATGTGGTGATGTAATAAATTACCCAAAATTCTCTCCTTCGCTGCCATTAAACCAAGTGTATCTCTGGCAGCCCTAACAATCCAGAGGCAGAGTAGAGCAACTTGATTTGAAGTGTAAGTATCATAGTCAGTCCCTGTTAGGGTACCTCTAACAACTCGAACAACTCTTCTCCTTTAATGGGGTTTTGTTGTTCCTTGTCACCCTACACGAAGTCAGAGACATTCAAACTTAATTAAGGGCCGGTCCCAAAGTGATTTGCAAGCACTGCTTGTATGCAGACTGCAAATGTCAGAGCATTCAGATCAAGACGAGATTGTTGATTGCAAATTGGGGATAAACTTGGCTGTACTACAGGGCTGTAACATTTTAATGAGTTACAAGTGAAGTTTATCTTTAATAGAAAACATTCACCGACTGATATGAGAGGAAGCAATGTCATTGAACAAATTGCAGCTTGCATGTTGGACATTTGCCAATGTTAAATTGGAGATTCAAAAGCCCTTTACACATTGCCATTTCAAGGCGGGACATTTACCCCCCTGTCACGCCCCGTCTGAAGGGTGAAACACAACGCGGGGTAATGGTAGGGCTAAATCGATTCCCTGATCTACTAACGCAGGTAGTAACAGAGGTGTCACAGGGCCAGAGCCACCAATATCACTCCGTATCAGATGCAATGTCAAAGTACAAAATAGTGAAGGAGGGACTTCAGGCGCAAAAGTTGTAGAATTTCTAATGTATAAGGGGCTAAAGTAGGCATAAAGAGCTTGAGTTTTGCAGTGTTAATACAATCACATCCAATCCATGCAATGTTGCAGAGAAGTAAATGTAAAGACTTTGCATGGGTAACAAATCTCTATCTGGGAAATACAATGTCAGTAGCACTGTGTGTCAATGGAGGGTTGTTTGAAGAAACGTGTAGAATCTATTGGACTCATACAGTTTTAACTCATTAGCACAAGTGAATGCATGTTGAGCAAAACACAGACAAGGACACTCTCTGTTCACCTCTAACATTATTTTTATAACATCAGAATAATAATGAAGGTGTTATCCAATAGTATAAATAGCAGGGTAATGGAGAGTAATGCACATAACAGCGATGCTTTGGTAGTGTGTTAAACACGGCTCTCTATTAAGTAATCACAAGGTGACCTCAGTAAATATAGAAATGAAAATCTGCCTTTGAGACACTTGTACACATTTTTGATGAATGAGAGTGATGCTGCCAGCGTTGCAAGGACCGTCTGCATAAACAGTACTCGAGTTACCTGTATTCCACTGAATAAAAGATGGGACTTTATGTGGTACGGGGTGGGATTACCCAGCTCTACATCCCTGCAGGTTAGACTTCAGAGAGACACCCTGGCCCTCAGCCGGGTGACAGGAGGAGCTTTGTGGCTCTGCAATCAAGAGCCCTCATCATGAATGTGCAGCCTCACTGTGTGGCCCTACAAGCTTAGGTAGCCTTTGAAGTGTGAGAAGAGAAGGATTGGCACTCTGTCAAGCTCACTATCCTGCCCAGTTTTTTTTTTTTAAAAGCCATTTTTCCTCATTTTTTCCTTTTTAATTCTTTTTCTCTCCTTCTCACTTTCCAACTACATCCTGCAGCTTTACTCCGCAGCATGGGTTCTACAAAATTAGAGCGTCTTGTTTGTTTTAATCACATCTAGCACGGAGATGTAAACAAGCAGCACCTGTATTCATGCTATGCCAGCCTCACTATCATGGCTGAATATAAAATAGCAGCCAGCTGGTTCCCCGTTTGATCTGGCTCTCCTGACCAATAACAAAGAGTGAGCCTCTGTGCCAGCTATACCTCCTCTAACCTGTATTAATGCAGCTTCTCTCCAAAGTGTTGGTTTGCAAGTTAAAAAGACTGATCTCTCTGCAGACGTCATTCTAATTAAATCATGCTAAAAAGGCAGCAAAAAAGGCAGCATGTGTTTATATACAGTCTACATGTAAATTGAGTTGTGATATAGTATGCCTATGTGTGCATATTTCACTAGGTGTTCTTGTTTTAGTGAGTAAACTTGTTCTTTCCATCTTTGCAGTGGACACACCACCTTGACAGTCACTGGAACCAACCTGGATGTAGTCCAGGAGCCGCGGGTCAGAGTCAAATATGCCGGCCATGAATCTGTCAATGTAAGTGTGACAACTGCGAACATACTGCAGATCTTTTTATTGATGTTGCTTTATTATTGATGTAACAGTGAAGATGATCTTTGTTGAAAGTTAGCGACATCAGTACAAATGAGGGATTAAAGTAAAGCAAGCAGGTTGTTAAAGGGGAAAAAACACAGGCATGCTGCTCAATATCCATTTTATTACAAAGCTTAACAGAATAAATCTAAAGGTATTTTTTATTGATTTTAAAATGGTAAAAAATGGTCTATTAAACTCTACTTTGGAACTGCATTCATAGCAGCAATTGGCAAATGGGTTTCCCCACTGGGAACTGGTAACGTTTTCGAATCGCAATGAGCTCTTTAAATTGCTATTAAACTGAACGTTTCCATTGATGAAGATGACAGCAAAGTTTTACAGAAGAACATAAATCAATACAACACCTGTTAAAAAAGTTTATTTCTGGTGAACAGTCTTTAATAACAGTCACAGCCAACGCCGATTGGCATGAAGGTTTTAGATCATGTGTTAAAGCTGCAGTCTCCTCATAAAGCCACTCGGATTGGCTAGTAACGTGCAAGCTAACCCTGATTGGTTGTTTGATTCAGACATGATCAGATCATTTTTTAAGTTAAATCCAAATACTTACGTCATCACATTCACCCTTTCACACACACTGACGGCAGACGCTGCTACCGCCCAAAGTTGCAGAATGTATCTTACAGTGTTGAGCTCTTTCGGTGTTTCATCATTTTGCTGCCTTGTTTTCTGCTTCTCTTTTATTAACCATATAAAGCTGATGTTGAATGGAGCACATACCCTTTTGCAGATAGATGTGATTGCATGAAATTTCCATAATCTGTGATCAGAACTGAGTTTCTCACATCAGTGGGCTGATAAATAACATTTATAAAAATTAAATATTAGAATTAAAAGACTGAATGCTGAAACTGACCAATCATAATTAAGTATTGTACATGGCATGTACCATGTAAAGAGGAGGATTTGGAGCTGTATTGAATCCTGAATCATGATCTTAAATCTGTTGTGAACTGTTTTTATAACTCATCTGTAGTGACTTTTTCTAAACATAGCCAAAAGCATTCATACAGTTAAAGTCACAAAACATTTTTTAAAGGGTTTATGACATCTTAGTTGAGAGCTTTTTCAGTTCTGAGTACAAAACATTCTTCAACGACCTTCAGTAAGTGTGAACATAGTAAAAAATAATAACCTTTCTTTGCACCAAAGAGCTTCTGGGAGGAAGGGCAAATTAACCAACAAGAGTTTGAAATGTAATAGACCATAGTTTCTGAAATGACAGAGATGTTGTGGGTGTAAAAATAGAGCCATAAATAAGCCTGGCTCAAAAGAGGCTGCACACAGAGAGATTCATTCCAAAATGAGATTTTAAAAAAACTGACACGAGAGTATAACTCAGTTTTTTGGAGGTGATTTATGGCGCTGATTCTGCCTGCATGAGCTCCTCAGGCAAGTCCCTTCAAAGTGATTGATAGTTGCAATGTGTTGCAGCCCTGATGGCAAAAGTCTGCTCACCTTTAGCCTTTAAGTTTCCACTTTGGACCTGTCAGAGATTGGCCTGAGGATCCAAAACTGCACACAGGGTCGAAACTTTAGGAGGGAACTTTTGGCTTGAACTTGAGAAAGATCAATGTAACCATAAAAAAATCTATTTCAAACCATCAACGAGTGAAAAGCTTCCACAAAGGGAAGGATAACACCATAACAGCTTTTTCCCCTTCAGCTGTAAAGTCTCTGAACTCCTCCCCCCAAACTGTTCCTCACATAATGCAGACATGACCATTCATCCATATATCCATCCATCCTTCATCCATCCATCATCCATCTATCCACCCATTTATCCATCCATTCATCTATTCATCTAACCTACCATCCATCCATCCTTTCACCCACCTTTTCATCCAACCATCCATCCATTCATCCATCTATACATCCAACCATCCCAACCATTCATCCATCCATTCATCCAACCATCCATTCATTATTCCGTTTTTTTACACAAGTGCTGCATCTTCCATTCTCACAGTGTCTTACCTGAGCACAGTTTGTTTTTTTGGACTGAATCCAACCACAGATTTTAAGATTAGTTGGAAGCACACTTAACCTATTATAACCTATAACAACCCCAAAAGAACAAGAGGATGCGCCACATTTGTTTTGGATTTCAACGCACAAGTTCATCTAAATTACAACCCTAACCTGTGAGTCATGAGCTCCGACAAAAAGAAATAGATTACAGATACAAGTGGAGCCGAAATGAGTTTCCTCAGTAAGGCGGCTGGACTCATCCTCGGAGATAGTGGGGAGCTCAGGGTAGAGCTGCTGCTTATTCACATTGAAAGGAGCCAGTTCAGGTGGGTCAGGACTCTGATAAGAATACATACTTGGCGCATCCTTTTGGAGGTTTTCTGAGCACGTCCAAAGGAGACCCCTAGGTAGACCCAGAGTGCATGGAGGGGTCATTTATCTCATCTGGCCTGAGAACACCCCAGAATCCCAAAAGAGGCGTTTGAAAAAGTTGCTAGGAACATGGACATCTTGGTCAACCGGCTCAGCCTACTGCCACTGACCTTGCCTTCCCCACATGAGGTTTCAGAAGTTTAAACTTGCTGCGTTAAAGTCGAATTCATGGCTGACCTGTTGTATGCTGGAGTATCATTGGGTGTACCTGTATTCCTGGCACAACAAACTTTGAGTCTGAACATAGTAGATATTAGGAAAAGGAGAAATTCAGATGATGCGACTGAATATTTGGCAGATTCAAATGTAATATGTTTGAAGAGCATGCATGTTTTTTTTTCTGCAGACAACACAGCATGTGTATGTGAGGTTCACCATGAGCCAATTAAATGTCGGGGTGATGACGGTGTCCCTGCTGAATTTGAGCAAGTCATTAAAACTGCATGTTTTACAGTGTCACTGGCAGCACTGAGATCTAAAGGGATTAAAGCTGAACTTTAACCTGAATCAGCAGCTAAAAGAGGGTCATTGGTGAATTTAATGAGGGCAGTCTCTTTATCACACTGATCTCCAAAACATAACTGGAATTACTTTAAAGTGTTTGGAATTTAATTGACTGGAAACAACTTTCTGTGAAACCCCAGATAAAAACGCTGCTTAGAAATTGGCCTGAAGCGAAGGGAGAATTTAAAGGCTCCGCTTGATTTTGAGGAGGATTTTCAAGAACTGGGGGAGCAAAACAGAAAAAGCATGATGATAGCATAGGTTTTATTCATTGTGAAAATACAAATAACTAGTGAAAATGACCTCTTCTGAGGACATTTTCTATTAACCATGTCAAAGGAGTGAGTAAAAGGTTTTATATAACGTTTTTTCAGGTTGTAGTTTGTAATTTCAGGTGTATAAATGTTCTCAATTAATCCATGACCCTGGTCTCTGGGATGCCGGCACAGTACTGCAGTAATTAAAGTGGAAAAGCAGCTTTCATACATTTACAGTGAAAGGTGAAACAAAGGAGGGCAGACATTTGACTGTACATTCACATGGACAACAAATCTATGTCTACTTCTGCTATACAAAAGTGAAGTCAAAATACCCTCAGGACGGGGAGAGGCTGCTGTCAGTGCGATTAAAAGAGTGAATATTTTTCAAAAAATTAGAAGTGAATGTTTCACATTTTGGTATGAATATATAAATATGTGAACAATCATCTTCATAACCAGGTTTCTGGAACATACCTGACTCAAGTCAGGTTATGTTCTGTATCACGTGTAGTAACATCTGATGTCATTCCCCTCCAGGTGTGCAAAGTGCTAAACACCACCACCATCAGCTGCTTCGCCCCCTCTCTGAAGGCGGAGTACACCTCAGACCAGGAGACCATCAAACACGTTGACGAGTTTGGCTTTGTCTTCAACAACGTCCAGGCTCTGCTCACCTACAACAACACCAGCTTTGTGTACTACCCCAACCCTTACCTGGAGCCCCTGAGCCTGACAGGTGTGCTGGAGCAGAAGCCAGGAGCGCCCATCATACTCAAAGTAAGTCACCAGTTAGAGGTAATGTGGTTTTCTTGTATCTCTCTACTTCAAACAGGCACACATTTCAAGACTAAAAGTACAGTATCTCGCAGTGACAATAAGAATGTCAACTATTCCAACTTTCCTCTGCATTCACTACTTTCCTCTTATCTTGATGAGACACATACAAACAACATTTCTAACTCTGTAGTCATAATTTTTTATGATAAAATGAAGGCTAAAGCCTTAAAAACATGCTGTAAACAAACAGAATAATAAGTATCAAAAGCTATCGCTCCCCCTTTGTCTCATATTTGTCAAACCGTTGTGTCTTTCAAAAACTATATTTCCCATGACATTTCCTGTCACTCCCAGCTGTCACAAAGAGGGGCCGATCCTCCTCTCTTCCTGGGTTTTATCAAATAGTTTTACTTACCCTAAGCACTTCCATATCTTTAGTTCAGTTTGTCACAGAGAAACAGCACAACAGACTGCTCTGCATATTGAAGAAATATGTCTTTGTTAGGTAAAACAATTCAGCCAGTTTCCCTCCAAATATGACTCACAGAGGAGGATGCAGCATGAAAACGTCTGCCAGATTTCATCAAGATGATTGCAGTCATTATAGTAGTGGCTCAGATTGCATGGTGATCGTTTGTTAAGTTCATGAAGTCAAACGTAGGTCAAGTGAGCTCGGAAAGAAAATAAAATGGAGAAAACTGACAACAGGTAAAAACATTAAACTGACGTTATACACACACAGGTTTAAAAGAGAGGGATATTTTCTCATCAAAACCGAACAGGATCTGAATCAGTAACCTTTCTGTTAGGAACCTTTTAGTCTGTGTGGAAGACTTTTAGGACCAGGCAAAGTGCCTTCAAAAATATCTGAGGAAGAAGACTTTTTTGAATTTTGAGATTCAAACTCTAAATGTGGAGAATAAAGAAACTTTCAGCACTCATGCTAAGTAAAAGATAAACTAAATCTAATGAAAGATAGTTTTTTTTCCTTTTCTCTTTTTGTTTTCTTAAGAAGTCAAATTCGAGGATGAAAAAAAATCTGTAGAGAATAAAAACTGAAATGTTAGGAATACAATCAAACGTGTGGTAGTTACTGCAGGATATGATAAATTATATAATCAAAGAAGACACATTTTGTACAGTCAACAGTTGAGATTGCGGTCAGTTGTTTAGAGTCAAATGTCAAAATTATCCAAAATTATGTGGAAAGAAATGTTGCATCTGAGGCGGAGGATTTTTGTATGGAAACACTTTTTTTTCAAAAACTATTTTCAACTGAGATGATAGATAGATCCAAAAGTGTGAAGAAAGATTTGCATCTATTGCAGCTATGAATGGCAACTAACTCACACTCATTTCATATATGTGAACACATTCACAGTTAGTTTCACAACCACAAAATCTCCATTTGATTTGATTTGATCACAGCATGTCATGTTCATACTCATAATATGAAAAAAAGCAGTCTTCCTTCTCCCCTCAAGTTTTTGTAATTCCTGGCGCAAATACTCTTCTGCACTTTTTTGATATGAATTCCATTTTTGCAGCAATAATCGTTTCTCGATCTGTGTTTCAGGGACGTAACCTGGTGCCGTCTGCGTCGGGCGGGGAGGCTGAACTACACGGTGCTGATCGGAGACACGCCCTGCTCTCTCACCGTGTCTGACACTCAGTTACTCTGCGAGCCTCCAAACCTCACCGGGCAGCACAAAGTCCTGGTCAGTGTGGAGACGTTTCTGCCTATTAGGCTATTTTCTGTCCATCTGTGCCTGTGATTGTCTGTCTGCATGGATGTGGGTCACTGTGTGCAGGTCGGAGCTTGTGTGTGTGTGTGTGTGTGTGTGTGTGTGTGTGTGTGTGTGTCACTGTGTTTGTGGGTCAACGACAGGCTTTCAGTTATTGTCTGTCACTCATGGTCTGGTAGGTTCACAATTACAGCACTCTGCCCTCCAGAGTTATGGACAGGCACTCTTGCAAATAATGAGAAAAGAACAGGAAAAAGAAAAGATGTGCCGTGCCTGGAAATGTGGAAAAAAAATTATCTTTCTTTAAAGTTGATTGTTCAGGGAAACTGTCCATATCGCCATTCTGTTTGCCGATTTAAACCTTCCGCAACATTGTTTTCAATTAATCACAAGCCACTTTCATTACTTATAGTTTTTTAAATTTTAAAATGTTGTGCTAATGCCTGTGTAAATATCCTTCAGGTCCAAGTAGGAGGACTCCACATCTCTCCGGGAGAAGTTCACATCCGCTCTGACAGCCTGCTCACCCTCCCTGCTATCTTCAGCATCACAGCTGGAGGAGGGCTGCTCCTCATCATCGTCATCATCGTCCTGCTGGCCTACAGACGCAAGTCTCACGAGAACGACCTCACGCTGAAGCGGCTGCAGATGCAGATGGACAATCTGGAGTCCAGAGTGGCTCTGGAGTGCAAGGAAGGTGAGCGAGACACACCTGAACTTTAAATTTGAACTAGACCTCCTAAGTCTTTGTAGCCTCACAGCATCATTTTAAAGGTTCTTTAAGTTGCTAAATCCTTATTTTTATTAAATATTTATTAAATCAAAGGATATTGCTCCATTAAATGCCCATTATAGGGAGTTTATAGATGTCTGGCCTCAGTAAAATCAATAAATTGTTCATAGAGGACACTTAGAAGGGCATCTTGCTTATACCATGCCTCAAGTGGACACTCGAGGAACTGCAGTTTTTTGTGCTCCTGCATTGACCTTAATATTTGACATTAAGGTTGCTGCTTGCTTACAATTTGTCCATTATCAGGAATGAATGCCTCCCTGCAGCCAATCAGAATTGAGTTTTCAACCATGCAACAACAATGGTGTAAATGAAATCATGAAAAGCTGAATGGTCATTCATTGGCTGGGGCTACATCAGTATAAATAATAATCAAAGTTGTCAGACCATATATATTTTTTATTGTAATTAGGTGAGCTTAACTGTATTTTCTGTAGTGTTTAAAACAAACACAGCTTAGAGAAGGCGAGAATCTCTTAAGTTGTGTTTACCGTGATTAACAGCTTAATTCATCATTACCACGTCATGTTTCGCAGATGTTTAACACACACTTTTGTCCCACACAGCCTTTGCAGAGCTGCAGACAGACATCAACGAGTTAACGAGCGATCTGGACCGAGCCGGCATCCCCTTCCTGGACTATCGCACATACTCCATGAGGGTCCTGTTCCCCGGCATCGATGATCACCCCGTACTCAGAGAGCTGGAGGTAAAACACCCCGAAGCAGCGCTGCACTTTTTGGATTCGGTTTCATACATTCCTCCGACATCTTGACCTTACGGATTCGGTATACTTAAATTGATTTTGGCTTGTTGGCGAGTGCTGTCAAACTGCTGTCGGACAGAGCGGAGTGAAAAATGTCAAATCTGTCCACTGTGCTGTGAGCTCTGTTTGTGTAATGCTGTCCACATCGGCTGGAAGAGTTTGTGTGTAGGTGTGTGTAGATTCTCCCTTCCTTAGTCTCAGTCACTCACCTCTTTTACGTCAAACTCTTCTCAGTCTCTGACTCACACTTTTTGACATTTAAAACTTTAGAATGAAAATGTTTTCTACACCACATCTCACACGGTTCATTTTCCTTATCAGGGGATTTTTTTTTACAGGTAGTACGATGTGGTTGTCAAATGTTTATATATTGCTTTGTCAAAATCCTGTGCACCGCTGAGTTTGATGTTAAAGGACACAGTAATGAGGCCCTGAAAGTACGTCAACATCTCAGCAGATCAGGGAGTAGTATCCCGTTTTTAAAATGTCAAACCCCTCTACTTAAAATAATAAGGAACTTTGTGTGTGGTAATATTACTGACGGAAGCGTGCCCAGAGGAAGCTAATGTTAGCCAGGAGGCTAGTGCTAACACTACTGATTGAATGTGTAGGCCTTTCAGGAGCCCATCCATTTCTGGGGGCGGGCCTGTCCCAGATGCGCTGTTCTTAGTGTTTATAGCAAAATGCTAATTTGCAACACCTGTCCACGGGAAAGTATACTGATATACTATGACTGATTGTCTCGCTAAGTGCTTCCCTTTCCGACACAGTTCAATGGGCCCCCTGTCCACGGGAAAGTATGCTAATATACTATAACAGTATGAATAAAAGTCTCCATTTGTAATTGAAGCAGCATTTATGGTCAGAATTGGGCGCTGGTGTGAATTAAAGTTCAAGCTGTTCTCATGTGTAAATGAGTTTCAGTTTGAAAGACTCTCTCTACTGTAAAGCTCTCTTAATGAACTAGTAATGTATTTAATGAAGAATCATGATGCTTATTTTATGAATTTTCTTTATACACTTAGAAGTTGAAACTATGACTCAGAACTGTTCTTGCATGGATGAATGTGTCCTGCAAATGAGGTCTACGTCACTTCTACCAGGCTGAGCCTGAAGCAGCACCCTGCCCTGAGTCTGTTTTGCATTAAATGCCTGCGGATGATTCATGTTCCTTCACCTATGTTTTGACTTTCCTCATCCTTGAGTGAGTCTGAACTAATGAGCATGTGTTCCTGATGTGTGCTTGCGTGCAGGTGCCGGGCAGCGGACAGCAGAGTGTGGAGAAATCCTTGAAGCAGTTCGCTCAGCTGGTGAATAACAAAGTTTTCCTGCTGACATTCATCCGCACTCTGGAGCTGCAGCGCTCCTTCTCCATGCGTGACCGCGGCTACGTGGCCTCGCTCATCATGACCGCTCTGCAAGGACGCCTGGAGTACGCCACGGACATCCTCAAACACCTTCTCTCAGACCTGATCGAACGCAACCTGGAGAGCAAGAACCACCCTAAACTACTCCTGCGCAGGTACACCAGAAGATTTCTGTTTTACCAAAAGCTACAATAGAAAATGATGTATGTTTATGTAGCACACTTTGGTAAAAGGCCTGTTGAGTTATTTTCACAACAAGGGATGTCCCACCCTCAATGGACTGCCTTTTTACATCTACAGCTATTGAACCTGGCTGCTGTTGACGATTTTGAAGGACTACTGTAGAAACCAATGAGACGCATGCTACTAACTGATCCCTTAAAACCTGGTTTAGTAAGACTGTTTTCATGAAATTCAAATTCAAAACCTTTATTTTAACTCGAAAGACACTGAGGTTTCCCTCATTTACAGTGATGTGGAGCTCACAGCATAGAAGAGGAGATACAAATAAAAGCAAGTAAAAAAATCAGCTAGAAAAAGTACATATCCAGGAAACAGTCAGCAACACAGATAAAAACAGTTACAAATTGATGAACAATGGGCCGTTACTATGGCCTTAAAGGCTGCATGTGAGGGCAGAATCCTATTTTTTTTAATTTGTTGGATGACACTCTAGGAATCCGGAGCATTGAATGAAAACGCAGTCTTTCCCAAATCTGAATGTGCCGGGGGACCTTAAGTATCAGCCAATCACTGGAACGAGTGCAATAGGTTCCACCAAATACTCTTAGATTCACAAGCAGAGGGCTGCACTTTAAGAAAAGGCAAAGAATTCACCTCAAATGGACTCAAAATGCACATGAACATTGTAGTGGGAAAGCTGTCAAGTCCTGGACACATTTGAGGCCAAATCTGACTATTTGGAGGGAATAGAAATCCAGCATGTTCTTTCTCACATCTCTGTCCGTGTTTTCCACCATGGTCAGAACATTTAAACCCGACCGTATCTGATCAGCGCTGCTTGTATCTTGGCACAGATCATTCCTCTGTGCGTTGCTGTTTCCAGCCCAGTTACCTCACTTGTGTCGGCTGAGTAACTAGGCCAGCGACGGAGAGCCCACCTCTGCTCAGCTTTGTTTTGTGCAGCGGCGTAAAACAGCCGTAGAGCTTGTGTGAGAAACAGTGAGCCTGAGCAGACAGGTGAAAGACAGCAGCGGTAACAGCGATAGAGAGAGGGAGGGACCGGCTAGAGGAAGAGAAACTTAATGGGGAAGAGTGAGTGCAGCGGCAGCAGCAGAGTCGTTGTCAGTCTGACTTATCTTCTGTGTGCCGCTCATGAAACATTCAGCTGTAGCTCACGTTCCTTCCCCTCCGTCACCTCTCCTCTCTCGCCCTCTCTACCGCTTTTCCCTCCGACTTTGGTTATCTGCCGATTGTTTTCCCAGCGCTGAGCCTGGCCTCCTGAATCTTTCATGAGTTTCCTTTTTTTCCCCCCTTTTTGAAAGAGAGGGCTCTCTCAATCTGAAGCACACTCATTAAATATAAGGATGAGTTCGCTTGGGAGCCGGCACAACAAGAACTTGTTAGCCTAAACATGCTGCCCTTGCGGAAAAAACTCTTCCATTTAATAGGATGTTGTGAAGAGGAGCGAGTCGGTTAAGGTTAGAGTTTGACTACAGGTAGAGGAAGTGACAGAGACAGCAGGTAAGGGAGGGAAGGAGAGCGATGCATCTAAAGCTGCAGACTTTGGATAAGTTTCAGATTAGAAAGAGCTTACACACCATTTGACGGGTACAGTTTCATGAATTAAAGGATTTACTTTGGTAAATCACAAAATCTGTCCCATCTGCACCCATGTTAAGCAGCTAAGAGCAGACAGAGAGAAGAAGGAAGAGTGGGGAAAGACTTGAAGTGGTCGTCTGCACATTTATGTCATGACCCAAATATCTTCTGCACGAGCAGCACTTAACTTACAGTATATCCAAGTACGTGTCCCTTCGAGACCGGCTGCCTGAGTAAGGATGTTTTTTCTCTCTGTAAACTCTCCATGTCATGTTTCTTTTCTGCTCCAACAATGTCAGCCGCTTCTACGTCTTGAATTATAAAAGAATAATCAGAGCACTCCAGTTCTCTGTGGGACGTCTGTTGCTCTTCAACGTGCTTTCCTCTCCTCAATTTCAGAACCGAGTCGGTGGCGGAGAAGATGCTGACAAATTGGTTCGCCTTCTTGCTGCACAAATTTCTCAAGGTAAAGTGAAATCTCCTTCCCGCCTTATCTCTACAGGTGTCATTGTGATGCACGAGGGCGGTGCTTTTTAAAATCTTTGCATTGATTTTCCCGTAGACTGCTGTGAATGTTTCTTTTTTTGTTGGAGCTGTCACTTTAAGAGTCTCACACTGATAAGCTGCGTGGACGTTGTGCAGAGATAACTGTTACCTGTGGGGTCATTCATATGTCAGCTTTGCAATTCAAAAAAAGGGCGAGAATGTTCAATTCTGGTTACCGAGTCTCAAAGTCTGCGCTGATGATGATTACAGATCTCCTTCCTTCACTTCCTTTCCCTCCAATCTCTTATTTTCCTTTCTTCCCACCTTTCGTTCTCCTCCTCGGGTCTCCTCCCAAAACAAAGGAGTGTGCTGGCGAGCCTCTCTTCATGCTGTTCTGTGCCATCAAACAGCAAATGGAGAAGGGACCGATAGACTCCATCACTGGGGAGGCACGCTATTCCCTCAGTGAGGACAAACTCATCCGCCAGCAGATTGAATACAAGACGCTGGTGAGTCACAACCACATTGATAAGAAAGAAAACCCTTTTTCTTTTCCTTCTCTTCTTTTTTGTATTTCTCCTGGAAAATTGCCATGACAGATTGAAAGAAATGTGGCATGTGCACAAGACTGTGCTTGTGATTGTTTTTTATGCTTTGAATATTTGGAGAGTTTCAGTAACATGATGGCAGCGCACCAATCCTCCTGCATTGCCACATGTCTGTCTTGTTAAGCTTGAGGACATTTAGACAAAGTTTAAACGGAAATAAGACGTCATAATGTTCATAATGTTTACTCATAAATATTCTGAGAAGTTAACCTCACAAGACGCAACCTCTGATGATGAAAAAATTAAGTCAATGCAGAAGTGCAAAAAAAAAAGCTGCAGTTCCTTGTGTGTCCACTTGGGGCTTGTTCCAAAAGCCAATGAATCCCCATATTAAAATGCTAATTGTTACATCAGAAATAAAACATGTTTACAGCCCAATGCAAACAATGATTTTGTTCTATTTAGTTCATATCTTTATTTGTCACAACTGTACAGGGGTTAATAAGTCATTTGGCTAAGATGTGTGCATCAATTTGCATAATAAGGGGCGTGGCTGATTAGACCTACAGGTGGGTGTGTAGTAGCTGTTTGGAGGTTGGCAAGGCTGCAGCATCAGCCTCTGTTTTTGCTGCTTTTTTTATCTAAGCTGGATGTTAGTTGGAGTCAGCCATTCCAATATGGCGACTGCCACTGTGGCCTTCTGACCGCCTCTTTAGAAACCAATGGATGACATAACTGAGACCATGTTATATGCCAGTGGTGGTTTTTCTTGCGGGCCAAAATTGTCGTGTTAGAATCGTTTGCGGGCCACAGGTTTTGTTTTTTAAAATGTAGTTGAAAAAATAGTAAGGCTTTGTAGATCAGAATCAAAAGGCTCGCTAAAGAAACCCTTTAATAAAAGGAAATCAAATATTTTGATTTCTTCGTTCTACTTTATTTGTTTTTTTTCTCAGAATCAAGCCTGTAACGTGGTTCATTTTTTTGGAAAAGCTTTCTGCATTTAGCTCAGGTCATTAAATGGTTAAACAACAGTCCGCTTGTTTGCAAAAACTTTGCATATGTTTTTTTTCATAGTTTACAAAAAAATGGAAAATAGTAAAAGCTGTAGATTTAAAAAAAAAAAAACAACATACATGTTACTGAACATTTTCTATTTTAGGAATATTGTTCAGCCCTTGTTAACATGAAAAAGAAAAATAAGATAATGTGCCAATCTTAATCAACGCCTCGGGCCAAAATCTTCTGATTCTTTATTTGAAGTCACGGGCCGCAAAAAATCCCCTCAAGGGCCGCAAATAGCCCTCGGCCCGCACTTTGGACACCCCTGTTATATGCAGTCTATAAGTTTGATTTCTACAACATGCGTCACTCCTCTTCTCAATCCTAATGCTTACAATTGGTATATTTCAAATCTAGTCTTGCTGGCCTCTCTAAAGCTGCCTACCTGCCTTAATGTTCTCTGAGCCTCATAATATTTTTAAAGTCACCACAGGCCTATTTTTTATTATTTGCCCTATTGTTATTTAAAATAATAACGATTCCTTTAATTAACTGACAAGAATAATCAGGAATACTGAGTCCAAAAAATGTGGCTTGTATATGTCCATTAGTACAAAGTCATGTGATAGGGCCACCTGAATAACACAACATGCCTCTTTCTTTTACCTTTCTATTAAAATAAGGCCGGCCGGGTGTCTCCAGCAGCCAGTCAGAATAAGTTCCCCCTCAGGCTTTAGCTGCAGAGCAGAGCCAGCCAGCGACAGGATGACACCTCTCTGATATCCGTGTCCAACAGTCTGGGAGGCTGTGTCTCATTACTTGTTTAATGCCCCTGCTAGAGCCGCACAGCCACAATCTGGAGGTGTGAAATTACATTTCTGGCCAAGATCCTCTCCACCAGGACAGTTTGGTGAGGAGCGGGTAATGAAAGGACTTCTCTGGCAAGCAACACCTTTCTCTTACCACCCTCTCTCTCTCTCTCTCTCTGTATCCTCCATCCCCAGACGCTGAGCTGTGTGAACCCAGACTATGAGAACAGCCCAGAAATCCCTGTTAAGGTGCTCAACTGTGACACCATTACCCAGGTAAAAGAGAAGATCCTGGACGCGGTGTATAAGAACATGCCGTACTCGCAGCGACCACGGGCTGCAGACATGGATCTGGGTGAGTATTCACTGGCTGCATTTACACTGTGAAGGACTGATTTCATACCACTAATTGTCTTAAATACTCTGAAATAAACATAGACTTAAAATTGGTCATGCACACAAAATGTTGGAAATAGGACAGCAGGCATGTTCATGGTTTGTCGATGGCATGTCTGTAGAGATAGCACACATTTCACTGAAGCTATATGACATAAACAAAGGGCTTAACGGGACATTTTTTTTGGGAAACAACCCCTCCCCACACCTGTTTACACCCCGAACTAGAGCAACATTTACCAGCTCTGACATTAAACCCTACCGACAGCTCACCTACTCTCTGGATTACGCCCACATCATGTCATCATACAGTGAACGACTCGGCCCAAATCCAGCTGACACGTTCCTTCAAAAGGAGTAAATAAGATGCCTTGTAGGTAGAGGCTGACATTGCTCTGGGTTTGTAGTTTTACACCTTAAGAAGCTTTTACAGGTCGGGGGATTGGGAGAGGATCAGTTACTCCTTGCTGCTTCAGGCAGCTTAATTCCCCATGAAGACACTGTGTCACTTGTTGTGTTTTGTTTGCACAGTGGATTTAATTGTTGACGAAAAATATACAGAAAACTCTCTGGGTGGCTTTATACCCGGCATGCATGACAATTTACAGAACATAGAACAATCGTCTGACTTTACCTGCTGCACATAGAGACAGTGGGATGGACATTATGTAATTTCCAGGGTAAAGCATTCACACAAATGAAAGCGGTCACACGTTAACGTTCAATTGTGTTTTTCTTCAGAGTGGCGACAAGGCAGAACAGCTCGAGTGGTCCTGCAGGATGAGGACATCACCACCAAGATAGAGAGCGACTGGAAGAGACTCAACACACTCATGCACTACCAGGTCTGTTCATTTTTTTCAACACTAAATTGGGAAAAAAAATCAATTAATGTGAGGGTAGTATCTTGAGCTTCATCTGAAAGCACGTCCGATATATAAAGGCCTCCATGTAAATTCACGTTGGGTGAGAAATTATTACACGTTTACATAAATCTCTTCTCCTCATAGCTAAAACATAAATGGCTGTCCTGATTACAAACAATGTTCATTGTGAAGAAAGGCGATGTAAACTGGAAGTCTGAGACACTCTAATGACAGTATAACAATCCTTTATTAAACAAGGACCTAGCTGTGGGCGTGTCACCCACCTGGGGGAGGGGTTACTGCCCTTTGTGATGTCATGAGGGGAAAATCTCCAAACGGCCTGTTTGAGCACACATTTTCTGAAAAGTGGAGCAGGGAAAAGACAGAGAGGATGGACTTTTTTCATAATTAGGGGGTTTGTAGACATATATTAGAGTGAGAAAAACATGGTAGAGTTTATTCTGCATAATATATGACCTTTAAGTCGAAACACATTTTTAAGAAGCAGTAAACGTCCCATATTAGTCATTTCGGATGCTTTTTATTCAATGCTTAAGAAAGGTTTCGTTTATAATCCTCTTGAAAACCCGGACTCTTTCAAACATATTTAAAAATGGCAACAATCAAGCTCCTCAAAGTTGTCAGAGCAGGTACTATTGATGAAGGACGGGGCAGTACTCATTCATATTCACATCATTCATCTCACCAGCAGCACCATTTGATCAACATCCCTGTCACCAGCACACTAAGTCAACCTGAACATGGGCTTATTGTCTCTGTGTCTTTTCCAACATCTTTTGTTCTGCTCATAAATGCTACTCCACAGGTCACCAAACCCGGAATGAGTCATCTTGCTCCTCCGTCACTCAACCATTTGTCTCAGAAATCATCTTTGGGCCGAATGTAACACTCCCACAGCCATTGCAGTTTCAGTGCAGAATACTTATGACTTACATACTTTTTACAATACACACAAAGAGAGGAATACAACCACAAAGAAAAACAGCATTTTCTTTTAAAGAAAGCATGTCCTACCTCTTATCTCTCATGAACAATTCCTTAGTTTCAAATTCCTCATCTCTCTTTCAGGTGTGGAAACGTTTGTTTCGCTGCTGAACTGGATTTGTATTCGCTACATTTGGAGCTAATGCATGGTAGTGGTTTACAGCTCTGCAGTCCAGCAGATGACCAAAAAGCCTCTGCTTCGCCATGATAATATCAAACCATTCAGCAGCCAGTAAATGACAGTCAGGCATACATTTCTACATATTCAGACAAAATACATTTACTATACTTTTATCTGCATTTTTAGGCAAATTGAACACACATCATACCAAACTGAGACAACTGTGCCTTCTTGACGCTACTTTTAGACTCTGTTAATATGTTGAGCCTTGTTTTTAGGCAAATCAGTGCTATTTGAAGCCTGCTGAATTGACTGTCTGCAGCAGATCCTGCTGGCAGTGTACTCATTATTGTGCATTGAACAAATACTGGATGAAACTGATAATGAAGAATCTCAGAAATATGAGAATTCTTAAGCAGGTTTTGCAGAGCGTCTCATTAGTGACTGTCTAAGTTCCTTCGTGGATGTGTGTCATCTTTGTGTGCTAATGGAGGTATAACTCAGAAGAGTATAATTAAGTGAAGAAATTACGGTAATTAACTTCAGGTTTTTTTTAAGGCTATCAGTATGCACCTGTCCCTGTCAGCTAACACAGTTAGCTGACAAAACCTTTGTATCAATGTAATCACCTCAGCCTCTTCTGAGTCAACACTGAGTGTTATTATGACCATGTCCTCCCTGAGCTGAGAAGCACCACTACTTCATGGAGTTATGCTGACATTGTCTTTGTTAGTAACAGAGAACCTTACATTTCCTTCCTTATTTTTACTACAGGGTCTGTAAAGCAGCATTTTAAATCTTTTGGAAAAGTCGTTGCCTTCGAGATACGAAACAATATTCAGCCTGACAGAGATGTGGAGGGTGGCTCAGTCAGCGCAATATTTCTTCTCTGCAGAGGACTGTAGGTTTAGAAAAGCCAATGCATAATGCTAAGTAGGAGAAGATGTATGAAAGACATCCTGGTACTCGTCACCTACTGCATATAACGTACTTTAATTATTTACGACAGGTATTGGAAAACAGCCTTTCTGTGCGACTTTTTGATCGCGACTGAGCACCAACATTAAATCCAAAACAAACTGCTGTTTGGCGACACCTCCGCTATTCTGAAGCCTCCGCTCTCCTCCAGCGACAACCCCCCCCCCACTTGAGTTCACATGAAGGAGTTATCAGTTAGAACACACCACAATCAAGCACCATTAAGTGCAAGCGTTGGACAAAATTGTCCTTTGCTCGAGCTGCAATTGGCTGTGGCCTGCATTGTTGTGTTAGCAGGCTAATGTTAGCACACTTAAGTTAGCTCATAGCTTCATATTGCACATAAATTGACACAGAATGACCGTGATCTAAACACACTTATGTGTAAGTAAGCAGTGAGTATGTTATTCTTCTTTTCTCTAGCCCTTGACTAAAACAGCTTTTATACACAAGGCCGTCCCTTCCATGTAAACATGATGTAAACACGACTCTGACAACAACAAAGCTGGCACGACTCACGCTTCTCACTCATTGTAGACAGTCCTGACTCAGAGAGACATTTACACAGGTTTTACTTGATTTCTGCTGAATTCATGTTTAAAATGTTGAACATTCTGCCTTTAAATGTTTGAAAGCTTTTAGTGAAGCGTATTTTGAGGAATTCAATCAGTTGATAGAGAAATATTTTCAAAAGGTTTGGTCTGCTTTTGTGATTGAGTCTTTTGTGATCATCGCTCTGCTCTTTGTACTTGTACTTATAAGAAAGAAATTAAGAAATTTCCAGAACGTTTTACTTGAATTTAAGGCCAACGCTTTGTGCTTTCCTGTCTTGTGACATCACAGACATTCAGAAACCTCTGAATCATCGTTCCATTATCAGCCATTCATCGTTTTTTTTTAAACGCAAACCATTTTTGAAATTATTAGTTCTGACCAACAGCTGCGAGCCGCACATTCCTTAAAATAACAGCCATGCTTTTACCTTTGTGTTGCAGGTGTCTGAGCGCTGTGTGGTGGCCTTGGTGCCCAAACAGATGTCCTCTTTCAACATCCCGTCCTCAGCCAGCTTCCCTCGCAGCATCAGCAGATACGGTCAGTACTGTGAGAGAAACACAATACTTTGTAGTCATTCAGCGCTGCTATTACTGCCATTCATCAGCCTGTAAGAAAGCATGTTTTTAAAGCAGGAACTGTTATGAATCACAGCACTTTAAATGTTAAGAGACACGCAATGAGATCAAAATCTTTGAAAAGTTCTGTCACTTCAAAACAACTCAATCATCCTACATCTGTTTATACAAGCTCATTAAATATGTACGTTCATGAATAAGACACTGAGAGGAGCTTTCATAGCCGATTTTATAACTTTAGATTCCTATAAACTACATCCTGGATTAAATCTCATCTCTGAAACAGCAGATCAGTGACTTTTCCTTCCTGTTTTTTAAGAATTCTTTCATTAAAAGTAAGACACATGTGAGATCAAACATGATGACAACAAGAGCAGAAAGCACAAAACACAGAACGAGAGACAGCGAGGATCAGAGCCTGAAAAGAAAACATGCTTTTATTGAACGAGGGCACGTCTGCGTCATTACTATAGCAACCAATGGAATCATTGTGACAGCATTTCACAGTCTGAACACACACACAGACACACACAGACACACACAGACACACACACACACACACACACACACACACACACACACACTGGTGACAGACAGGGCAGTCTCACAAACCGATTAATCTGATGAAATAAACTCTGCTCACAAACTGTATCTCATAGGGAACAAAAAGTAGACGTTCAGGTTGTTAAATAAATAAAGGGTTTTGAGTGAAAATAATTAACCCAAGCCTGTGAATATCAAAGATAAAGCTTTTCACATAGAGCTAGAGGAACTTTCAGTTTGTGTCGATCTTGAAAAGCCCTCTTGGCAAAATCTTTTTTTTTGTCCAGTACATGTAAATTCTATCCCGCTTCATTTTAACATTTAATCTCATCTCTCAAAAATATATTTAAAAAAAACCAAACTCCATCTGTCACCTACTCTGCAGTCGTGATTACAGTCAGTCATTTTACATGTTAAAGGAGCAATATGTAAGATATCTACTGAATTGATTCATAAGATGACCTAAGATCAGACATTAAGGAAACATGCTATGTTGAAGTGCTGGCTTCTCTGACAACAACACAGCAGCAAGTATGTCCTCCCTTTAAGTCTAGATTCCAGTCCTGAATTGCCTGTTTTTGTCTGGACCAGAGAAGGTAGGCGGTTTTAAGGCAACACCACACGGCCGTTTTGGACATCCCTCAGTTTGCCAGATATGAGACCAGTTATCACATCAAACCAACAGGTGTTGCAGTGATGGAAGTGGGCAAAAGAGGGCAAGAGAACTGGTTCAGATAAAACTGATTCAACCTGACCTGAAAAGCCTCTGCATGTTCCAGATGAGCTCCACGGGCAGAAACATAAAAAAAAAAACTAGGATAAATATTGGAGATACTTTTTAAAAAATGGAGAGAGGTTAGAAAGCAGACAGGTTTACAGACTGATGCAGAGCTGGCTAAACACCGAAGCTTCAGTGTCCACACATGGCAACCTGCGTGTGTGTTGAGTGAAGATAAGTCGGGTTTGAGACAGCTCTTTCCAATGTTATGAATTTTGACTGCAGTGCCCATTTTAAACACTAGGTGTCAGAGTTACATATTGCTCCTTTAAAGAAATAATCATTGTCTCTGCTCCTGGTCTTGTTTGCTTTATTGGGTCATATAGATTCATCAGTATTGATTTATGTCTGTCTCATAACCAACTAAAAACTCCTCACAGGAGAGTGAGAACTTTATATTCGTTTTTTTTTATTTTATTTTAGTGCCCCTGGGAACAAAATACATAATATACAGTCCCATTTAGAGCACTGGTAATCCGGATTTGGTAATCCATTAAATTCTGTATCTGGATATAGTTGATCCAATTGAGTCTTCCTTTGAACAAACTAAAAAGTAAAAATAAACTGTTTTAACTGATCTGGGATATAAAATAAGTGGATTTACAAATTACAATATTTCTTATCCAGATCAAACCCTCTGAACTACTGGGCCTCGAGGATTTTTGTTATGTTTATTTTCCTTATTTCTGATATATATATATTTGACCTTCCAGGTGTGGACGTCCCCTTCCGCTCAACCCCCACCAGCCCAGACAGCCCCCACTCTCGAGTACCCATGCTGACCCCAGACCTGGAGAGCGGGGTCAAAGTGTGGCACTTAGTCAAGAACCACGACCACGGGGACCAGAAAGAGGGCGAGCGTGGCAGCAAGATGGTGTCAGAGATCTACCTGACGAGGCTACTCGCAACAAAGGTGCAGAAGATTTAACTTACTGAAGTAACTGACAAAATCGGATGTGTGAACTCTTCCACTATCAACCATGAAAAGAAAGGCCAGATCTCTTACAGTTAGACAAAAGAGTACATTTGGATTTGATTTTTGTTTGACTTCAGCAGTTGAAAAATCAGATTTTCTCCCAACAGAAGATCTGATTTATGATTTACATATTTGAAAGTTATTTCTTTGGGTCTTTTTGCCTTTATTAGATAGAAGCTGAAGAGAGACAGGAAATGTTAGGATGACATGCAGCAAAGGGCCAAGGTCAGATTAGCACCCACGGAAACTGCAAGGAGGACTATACCCCCTGTACATGGGGCGCATGACATAACTGCTAGACTATCAGGACCCCCATTTACATTTTTAAAACATTGTTTGAGAAAGAGTGTTACACATGATGGAATAAATAAGTCATTCTGGTTCTTTTAATTGCTACAATTTAGTTGCCACTTTAGACAAACTGTACGGTGAACAGTGGTCTGATCAATATGAGATGAAGCAAAACAAACCTGGTTCAGACCACTGACGAGCCTTGTTAGGGAACAAACTTCTGCCTATGAAGTGAAGGAGCTCAGGGACGCTGCTGCAGCTCTGTGCCATAATCACACAAGGTAAAAAAAAAATGAGGTTCCCCTCATTTAGAATTACGTCTCAAGACACAAAATTGCAGTCAGAACAAAACAGGAAAAGATCATTTGCACAGTGTAGGGAAGTGGTTTGAGATCATTATTAAGATTTATCCAAGCGAAATGAGAGTGTTAGTCCTGAGAGTGTGTTGTAAATAACTCCACATTTTTGTAGCACAAAAGCTAAATGTAGAATTTCCAGATGAGATTGAACCCTGCAGGACCTGAGGCGACATGCGATCAGTAGAACGAGCTTGGCATGGTCCAGTGGTCCAGCTCGGCATAGACTTTATGTAAGATGGTGAACGTTCCATAAGAGATTAATAGATAAAAAGTGTTTATCACGCCTCTGTGCCAAAAGAGGCAATAAAAACAAAAAGATTTTTTTTAATGAGTGTTATAGGAATAACCAGTTATAAAAAAAATACTAACTGCTGAGCTCAATAAGAAGCACTTCAAGTAATAACTTTCTGCACTGTTTTCTCATAGGGCACGCTGCAGAAGTTTGTGGACGACCTGTTTGAAACGCTGTTCAGCACTGTGTGTCGGGGCACCGCGCTGCCTCTGGCTATCAAATATATGTTCGACTTCCTGGACGAGCAGGCAGACAGACACGGCATCCATGACACGGACGTGAGGCACACCTGGAAGAGCAACTGGTGAGAGAAAATGTGACTGGTCCCCATTTATTGCAACTGTCTGATGACAATGGTCCTGATTTTAACCAAGTTGATTCAAAAGTTGGGGCCTGATGAAAATCACAGAATTATTGAAACACTGATGCCCCTTTTTCTTATTCTGTGTTTGATGCTGCTCTTTGAAAAACCCTTCTTTTCCACATTTTGTAACTGTATTCATTTAAATTCGGATTTAAGACTTCAGATAGTCTTCTGAACTCTTTCCACAGCTTTTTCCTCATAACTAAAGTCAATTTAAAAATCAATGTAAGACATATCAGAAAAAAACATATTCTGACACATTTTGTAAAACTTTCTTATTTTGCAGTCAACTCTGAAAATGTGTTCAATCTCTCTTCGTCTTTCTCTCCTCTCTGTTTCGATATCTGCAGCCTTCCCCTGCGCTTCTGGGTAAATGTGATCAAGAATCCTCAGTTTGTGTTCGACATCCATAAAAACAGCATCACAGACGCCTGTCTGTCTGTGGTCGCCCAAACCTTTATGGACTCATGTTCCACTTCTGAACACCGTCTGGGCAAAGACTCGCCGTCCACCAAACTACTCTACGCCAAGGACATACCGCACTACAAGAGCTGGGTAGAAAGGTGTGTACAGCATGCTTTTGTGTGTGTGTGTGTGTGTGTGTGTGTGTGTGTGTGTGTGTGTGTGTGCATGTTAAGATAAGTGTCCTTCACAAGGATGGAAAGACGCTCTGAATCCCCCAAAATGAGGTCTCTTTGTGGCCATCTCCTCGTCACAAGGTTCACAAAGAGCCGGTGTTTTAGGTGAAGCTAACCACTGATAATTGTTTTAGTTATAAATAAGAAGAGCAGCTGCAGGTAGCATTCATGCTTAGACTCTCCAATGTGAACGTGTGTGAACGATATCACCTGACAAAGAACAGGTTGATTTTCAGGTTGCTCCCCAACATCCCAAGAGCAAATATGCATCCTAAAAACCAACTCTGGTCATGCTAAATGAGTTTTAAAGCATCCATTACATGCAGACTAGATCAATCCTGGTGATTTTTATAAAAGACTGCCCACATTTTTACCGTTTTCAAACACTTTGTTTCCCTATTATTCAGCTCACTTGTAAAAAATACATTGGTTACTATTTCTGTTCTTCTCAGACCAGCTGTATTAGGTTTTGCCAGATATGGAAGATGCATTTACTCCAGCTAACCTTTACCAGAGAGAGATATCATGCAGAGCTACTTTTCATTTCTCATGCGCAAGTAACCATGCAGCCCTAAAGGTATCGGAGTGAAGTAATAAGCAGTATGATGAAAGCAAACATTAGCACAGCTAAATTAGACTTTACTTTTGTGTTCAAAAGGTCGCTGGTGTGGTTTGAAGCCCCTTCAGACTTGCTGTCACCTTTAAAAAAAGGCCGACTCCAACAGAGGGAAAAAAGCTCTGCATGCATGAGTGTACCCTCGACTTTGACATTGTGTGTGTGCGCGTGTGTGTCCTCTCAGGTACTACGCTGACATAAACCGCCTGCCTGCCATCAGTGATCAGGATATGAATGCCTATCTGGCTGAACAGGCTCGCCTTCACTCCAGTGAGTTCAACATGCTCAGTGCCCTCCACGAGATCTACGCTTACGTCAGCAAGTACAGCCAAGAGGTGAGACCCGGTAGACACACTGCGACGCACAAATGTGCAGCACAGGTCCTGCAGGTGTGGTTAGCCCTCTGCAGGTAGCATTTCCATATATTTAAACAGTGTAATACAGCGTAAAATTACTGTTAACTGTAGAAGGCAGGGCACATATTTGTGAATCCACAAAGATTTATCAGCAGACTGCTTTACAGCAGAGCCAATAACAGCTTATGTCTGATAAACCCTCTACATGCTGCCTGTCCAGCTGTCAGTCAGACAAAAATACTGACCAGACGGGGACCACAGTGGAGCATTTAGCCGCTGCAGAACCAGAATATTCCCTCAGGACAATACAGGAACTCAAATATATGATTTACATAAATCGCAAGGATGCAAACAGGACTCTTACTGACTGCAAATGTAGCTCTGTGTAGATACTAACAGCACAAGTGCAACATATCAAGAAAGGTTATTGTGTCTCATGTGTGCATGCATTTAACTTATGTTAATGCCCTGAAGTAGTGCAAAGGTTTGAATGAAAGTTAAAAGATCGGCTTAAATCCTGGTAAGAGAGCTTTACTACCCTCTTTGGTTCAATGCTGCAGCGTCACTGCTTGGTGTGTTTGAATTTGGTGAGGATGGATGTCACGGCAATACAAAGTACACCTGCCCATTAACATAGCAAGATGATGATGTAAACCAAAGGAGGTCAGCACAACCACACTTTTCAGAGGATACTGTTTGAAGGCTTTCGGGGTGATTTTTCAGCGTTGATCTAACTGTCAACTGATTTTCAATGGATGAGTAAATGATTTTGTTCTATAATGGTCAGAACCAAGCAAAAATAAGTTTTAAGTTATAAGAGTGAACCCAATGTGAGATTGCCTTAAACCTGCATCCTTACTGATGGCCAGCAGGGGGGGACTGAGCTGCAAAGAGAAGTCTGTTTTTCTGGAAGTCTACCAGAAAATGACACAACGGCCAATCACATCAGTAAAGAGTTTTAACTCATGAGTTTATACTCTCAAAGGAACTTCACTCCAAATTAACTTGTGATTAAACTTGTGATTGACAAGTTGCTTTTATTACAACCTGTTAACCAGATGAAGCTATGAGTGTCCACCCTGTCGTCCATATACGATCACTTAGGAATAAAAAAATGAAAAAATTAGGTTGCCACGGCAACACTGTCAATCTTTAGGCTGTTAAACCGTCAAATTGGGATTGGATTGCCATGGCAACACTGTCAATCTTTCAGCTGTTAAACAGTCACATTAGGATTGGGACAAAATATTACTATCATATCACTGGTATCAAATATCGATATGTTCCTTAAAAAAAAAAAAAGTAAAGCGCTGTCAGTTTAGCTCACCACGTCACTTCTTCATGACCCCTCACGATGGCGCTGAACACGTGATTCAGGGTGATGTGAGCAGGAGTTAAAAAGAAGAAGCCAACAGCCATAAAATAAAGGAGACGACAGCAGGATTAAATGGGACGCTGGTTATAAGGAGTTAAAGGAGCAATATGTTACTCTGACATGTAGTGTTTAAAGTTGGTACTGGAGTACAAATTCAAAACATTGGAGAGAGCTGTCTCCCCCCCGCCCACTCCTTCCTAGAGTTGAGGCGCAAGCAGGTTGCCATGTTGCGGTCATATCGTATCCTACCCTACCATATCGTAGTTGTACTACGTATTGTACCCAATTGTGTATCTCTTAAATCAACTCAGCGATGTATCATTTAAATTACCCTGCAAACAAAGTCCAGGAAATGTCCCTTTGATGAAATGCAGCAAAACATACAATATATTAAATAATCAGTATAGAATTAAAAGCAGAAGCTCTGTTGTGTTTGATTAATGTCCATGTACATATAAGTCCCACAGCCGACGAGAACAATATGCCTCGTGTCCTTCAATTCACAGTTTGTGCATGTGTGTGTTTCTGTGTGTTTGTAGATCATTGAGGCACTGGAGCAGGATGAGCAGGCCCAGAAGCAGAAGTTGGCGTATAAATTGGAGCAGATCATCTCAGCCATGTCTGCAGAGAGCTGAGACACACACCCACATACATACATTAACACAAAGACAACACACACACGTAATCCTTAACTGAGGACTCTAAACCCATCTGCGACGCACGTTGGGTACAGACACACACACACATCACACACACACACACACACACACACACACACACACACACACACACACACACACACACACACACACACAAGCATATGGATGTACGCAGAGACATTGCGGATTAATGGACCTACTGTATAAACAAACAGACAGCACACACACACAAAGAGATTCATACACATGCAAACACACATACAAATGTACATACACAGACCACTCTACACATCAAACAGCAGAACGTCCCAAAGCACGACTTTTGAGTCCAATGTCATCGTTTTTTACTGAAGAAACTCCAACAGGCAAAAATCCAGCTTCGAAAGCGCTCCCGTCGAGAAAAAACAAAAAGAGAGAAAGAAGGAGAGAGAGAAAAGATTTGGGCCATCACAGCTGCTGAATTTGCAGCCACTTCTTTTCTGCTGGATAGTGGCTTGCCTTTGTAGTGGCTGCTTCTACTTCTCCTAAATGTGTATGTGTGTGTGTGTGTGTGTGTGTATGCGTGTGCGCGGCGTGGCTGGAGCTCTGAAGACGAGAGCGGCGCTTAATAAAGAATGACTCAACTTGAAAAGTCACTGGAGGAGCGCAGCAAAGACAGGAGCCAATTTAATGGGACAGCACATGCGGTGAGACAAGACTCCGAGTTCTTTTACACGTCAGGGATGAAGGACGTTTTTTCACACGACATATCACAGGCTTGGAGTGACATCGTCATTTGGAGCCATCGGGGGCAGAGATGTGTAACTGTGAGTTTGTTAAGCCTTTTTCCTGTTGCCTTTTAAAGGCTTCAAAAAGAAAACACTAAAGACTTTGGCAAACTCTATGTCATTATTTATTTTTTTTAGATGAAGATTTTCTAATTTACACGTCTGCTCGAGACTGAACAGTTTAAGAAAACGAATCACGAAGAAAGTGAAGGGGTTGCTCTTTAATAACAGAAAGGCCCCGAATTGGCACAGTGGTCATTTTCCTCTGACATCACTGTACGGGTCGGAAGCTCAGATGTTATAATCATGTTGGACTGATACCTGTGACAACATTTTATTTCATTGTTATTGATTAATCTGTAACTGAAGAGAACAATGAAAGGTCAACTCCAGCCCATGTGTCAAGATAAACTGGAGGTCACAGCAGCTAATGTTAGCATTCAACCAATAAACTGTTCCTGCTAATGTTAGCTAGGAACTGGGTGAATGCTAGCATTAGCTGTTGTGTCAATCTGACAGATGGATGTCATTTTACTTCTTACTGATGGATCCGCATCTGAAAATCCAGTAGATACCATCACTTTGGCAATATTGCCAGGGAAATTAAATATTTGCTAACTCATCAGCTAATGACAGCTAAGTCACAAAACCCTCCGACTCGTATCTAAGACAAGCTGAGAACCCTAAAGACCCAATCAGGGGAAAAAAATACAAGTGGCCAACAGAAATTAAAATACATTTAAAAGTTTTCATTGATAAAATCCCAGCAGAATAATTCTATACACTTCTTCTTAACTAAAGATCTTTGTATCAACTATCTAGTAGGCTAAGTGTCCTATCATGTTTCTTTGTGCAAATTGAATTTTAACCTCCTCAGAGTGGACAAAGCCTCGCGCTAAAATATTTTGTCACTTAAAACAAAAAGTTTGTAGACACAGCAACATTGTAAAGAAGGCCTTTCACGCTTGGTTATTTTGAAGCATCTAAATGCTGGGTTAGTTTCTCTCAACATTTTCACCATTCATTTTCTTTTCAGGTACCGATCAACCTGATCCAGTGAAATTAAAACAATTGGTCATATTCCTAATGTTAATAGAATTTACAAACCTGGACATCACCAGTAAGATAAACGCATTAATGCTTCACTGCCCGAGTGTGACATCAGAGGAAATATGGCTGCCGTGTGAATATGGTAAATCACCTTCAAATGTGAACTAAATGGAGAGATATTTCCAGACCCAATCCCTGGCTTTTGTGCCAAATATAATGTCTAATGTTTCATTTCTGTTAAAAGCTGTTATTAGTACACGCCACTGAAGAGAAGAGATCCCATTAGAGATAGGACATTCTGTACAGCGATGATCGATAGACCACCAATTCAAGCATTCAAAGATAAGTGGAGACCAAATTGAACTGTAGCAGAAAGCATGATTAATGATGCTATGAGTCTGATCGTGGATCAGATTATCTTAACCCCTGGCGACAGGGCCCCTACCCCCCCCCCCCCCCCCCCCCTCATCAGTCATTGTTTACATTTAGTTATACTTGAAATGCACAGAGTGTACGAGACATTTGGAACACCTGCTGCTCCTGTGAAGTAATCTGCTCAGATTAAGTTAGATGGAGGCCTTGATGCTGTATTGATTTTTCGCGATAATCCACTTTGAACGCATCCTTGAATTTTAACATAGAGGAGGATCTCTGCAGACATCTGTTCTGCTCAGAGTATAGTGGGTGTTCCTAGTATTTTGTACACTGGGTGGATATAAGATTAATTATATTTGCTTGAATCAGCAGTCCGTCCTTGAAAACTTAATTTTTGTCTGTTGCTTCCCAGCTCTATCATCACCTCGTGTTCGAGCGTGTGATTCTCAAGTTTTAATCCTGTTTTATCAAATGTACATTTTACCGCCTTCTTGTTGTCTCCTCGCTGCTGTATTTATAGAGTGCCATATCTGAACTTTAAAATGATTATCATGATCTGAGGCATCGAGTTTGTTCAGGTTTTTTTTTAGTTTTGTTTGTATTTTTCACCCATTGCAAAGATGAAACATGAACTTGTTTCTGAGCTTGAGGCTGTTTCACGGCTCCATAGTCACAGTCGCTGTGACAGTCTAAAAGTGTCATTCTGCAGCGCTGCTCTTTTTACCATTTCAGTATCAGTGGGGTTAACGTAGTCCCCACAGGACCTTGACTCATGCTAACCTAAAGATAAAATAAGATAAATAATAATAAACGCATTTCCTGTTCAGTGTCCAAATGTGACGGAGACTACGTCAGTTTCATGTGAAACTTCATGTGTGGTTTGATGATAATTTATAAATGTGTTGTGCAATAAACTGTCAGACATTTAAAACTGTAATGTTTTTTAAACTATATATTATTGTATATATTATTGTACATAAAGAACACTCCTATTTTGCAAGCAAAAGATTCACTTTGTACTGTTGTTATACATTAAATGCGCAGCTGATGAGAATCATTTTTGCCTGGACTCCTTTTTAGAGTGTTGAATTCTTATACATCATGCCCTGCTTGATTGTATTACATGAAAAATTGTCCAAAGTTCGTTAATTAATGAGCCATACTTGTATTTATTTCGGGGCTTTTTTTGAGAGATAGGACAGTGGATAAAGTCAGAAATCGGGGAGAGAGAGAGAGTGGGGAATGACATGCGGAAAAGGTGCCAAAGGTCAGATTTAAACCCGGGTCACCCGCTTGGAGGACTACAGCCTCTGTACATGGAGCCCGCGCATTAACCACTAGGCTACCAGCGCCCCCCTATGAGCCATAAATTAAAGCGACAGAGCTTCTTTTTTCACAAAGAGTGTCTGGAGGTGAGGTCATTTAAAGAGGATCTGAACTCTGACTCATTCAACCTGATAATCTATTCTTACAATGTTGGGGGAACACCCGCATGCTGATTTGACAGTTTAAGTGTTATTGGGTTTTATATTGGATGGCACTTACTGCAAGACAATGATGTCATGGATCAATCGAAATCCTCGGGTCACAACTCTTGTTCAGCCAGGTCTGACATTACTGGCCTTAAAAAGAAAAGAAAGGTGTAATTTGTTGCTCTTATGTGTAATGGTACGACGGAGGATTAGGGCCAAGTAAAAAAAAAATATATAAAATTTCTAGATAAAACTCATTTTTTCAGGAGGCAGGGAATAGCGTAAAAAGTATGGGGGGGTGGGGGTGCCAGTGGGCAAGTGGTCAGGGCCCTATGTGTTTTAGTCCTGCGACATGTGGTTTCTTCCCCGCATGCCGTTCCACACTCTCACCGTCAATACTGAAAATGAGAGTTTAGTGTGAAGAAGCATCACACTGCCTTGTTGGAGCGATGCCAGGTAGATTATTTTAAGTTCAATTTAAGGTGTCGTCTCAAAGTCTCAGTGTTGTTTTCTCTGGGTTTTTTTTTTGCAGCACCGTTGGGGATAAGCCGTAACAGCAGGTGAGTTTCTAAAGATCTAAACAAAGTCCTTGATGGTTGTTTGTCTTCATCTGATTATCACCTTTTTTTTGTTTTCTCTGAATTCACACTTTATTTTCTTTCTTTGGTGAGGTGTAATTACCTTATACCTAAAAACAGTATATACTGTAGCTTCTGCTTAGTCTCTCTCTCTCTCTGCAGGGTGTCTTTTTTCTTTTCTTGGAGGTTGTCAAGTAAACTGACAGGGGGGTAATAACAGAGAATAATGCACATGCAATGAATTTAATCTGCGACCCACAGGCTGTATTGTGTTAGCTCATTCAAAATAAGATAGTAACTTGCCTGGAAAACTTTCAAGATCACAACTTTTATAATGATGTTACATTTTCCTTTAGATGGTGTTTTTGAACCAGGTCATATGCATCTTTGTAAAAGGTTTCAGTTCATTAATTGTCGTGAAGCTACGATGAAGAAAATTACCAAAAATACCTCACATACTGCAATTTCCATTCATAATCACACACAGTGTACATTTGGCAGACTATTAAGCACATTTTCATCTGCTGGGTTGCTTAAATCACTGGAACCGTCTTCAAACAAGGAGGGAAGGTAATGCTTTTTTTTTCATGTATGCAGTTTGTTTTTTAGATTTTCTTGTCAAAGGTGCCCTGATGTAAAATTAGCTATAAAGCTAACTCTGGCCTAGTGTTGTAGTCAAGACCACACTAACCGAGACCAAGACATACCGGAGACCAGACCGAGAAAAGACCAAGACCAATACATTTAGGGATCAAGACCGAGTCAAGACCAAGGCCAAGGCAGGGCGAGGCCGAGACAAGAGCAAGACCATAAATATCAATGAAAGTCATCATTTTGTGTGGAGCAGGTAAAGATGCATTTTCTTTCTAATCACAGTAATAACTAGGGAAAAAAAGCCTTTCAGTGGTGGTCTTGACCGGTCTTGATTTAAAATCCGGAGTCCGCCCAGTCTGAGGCAGAGCAAAAATTATTTTGATTCCGAGTGGAGACAGAGACCTTCAAAAAGTCGCCTCAAGACTAGTGTTGAGATTACTAGAGTACTACAACACTACTCTGCCCCCCAGTTGAGCTGTGCATGTCCTCTATCGAACAATTAATACATGAAGCGATAGCAAACCAAACTAAACTAATAGTGAATCAGGAAGTAACAAGATTATCAGTTTGTCAAAGGCAGCCTGTGATGTCAGCTGTTTTTTTGCAATAATTTTAATGACATCTGACCATTATAAATAGATTTTAACGGCACAATTAAAACTCAGCATGCCACATGGAAGTAGAAACAACAACAGAAATGAAGAGATATCCTGGAGAAAAACAGAAAATCCCTTTCAATTTGAAAGCAAACACACAGAAGGCTCCAACGGCTTCTCAATACTGGTCTGCTCTGACAGTATTTGTAATGACGTGTGCTGTATATAAGGTCTCCTCAGCACTTGCCATAAGGAGCCTGAATTCATTATTCATGTTTAACCCTCGGGGCTCTGGGCAGGCATGGGGGGAGGAGAACGGGGGAAGGAGGGAGGAGAACACCCAGGGCCCCCCAACACAGACCTGTCAGATCCAGGTGGGGGTGTCATCAGCATACTGAAGGGTCCTCTGTACAACTGCCAGACTCTAACCCCTCGTCTTTCCTCTCTTTTCTCTTTGCTTGTCAGAAGGCCTACACTCAGCAGCCTGCAATTTCTATTCACACACTACACACTCCAACACACACATGCAGTACACACACACACACACACACACACAGGAGCATCATTAGGACTCAAACCTCCTCTACTGACAGCTGAGCGAGCCGCGGGATATCTCATGATAGACTGTGTGTTTGGATGGAAGCAGACAGGTTTATGGAGCTTCTACAACCATTACAAGCCCATCATTCTTCTATCAAATCCAGACAGTCTTCAGAACAACTCATTTTGCTTTGACTCCTGATTGACGCAGTTGATTTATATCTTGAACATAAAGTAAAATAAAACTGCTTAAACTCGGTTAAATCACTGGGTATAAAACATCCTCTGCTTCTCCTGCGGCTCCGAATATCTGATTCCTGGGAAAATGGACGTTACACGTGCAGACTGCAGATCTTGTGGAATAATTCAAACGGTGACTCTGACTGTGGAGTGAATGTTGAATGAAAAAAAAACTTGCATTATGCACCTTTGTGTTAATAGTCAATGGATAAAGCGCAGGATGTGCTGCAGCACTTGATTGATTTTCATCACTTTAGCCATTAAATAAAGATAGATCTCAAATTTAATGCAATTAACATAAAAACAGGGATGCAGTGCGTGACGCGGCTTTTCAGAAAAACATGTTTTAAAGCCAAAATTCTAAAATTCCCAGCTAATAATTTTGTCTCACTGTTGTAAGATTTTATATATTTGTATTTGATTTTTCATCCCGATACGACATGATAAGACATGACACAAAATAAATATGATACGACTCAACTTACAGTTCGACTATGATCCACATGTAACAGGAACCCATGGCCAGAAGTCTTTCGTGGCGAACCAATGGCTACACCAGTAGCCCCAAAATGTTGCCCATCGCTACCTATGAGACTATAACATTGTCACTGAAATGTCACTGATCACTGTTCATAAAACCAGTGTCATATTGGAAGTTTATGAGCTCTACAATGTCATATTAGTAAAGGGGAGTGCATGGAGTGGTAAAAAAAAAGCTTAGCGATTTAATAACTGATAATGATTAGTAAGTCCTCTTTTACAATATTTTTAGTATTTGCAGCGGCAGTGATATTTCTTTGCCATTTAATGGTTTAATTGTTTTTTTGACCGAAGCAAATGTCCAGTGAAAAAAAAAGTCAAACTACGCATGAAGATTTCTCTTACGTATAAAAGCCAAAAGAGCCTGAAGCAGAAAACCTGGGTTAACAGAGACAACTGACACCTTTGTGAACACTCTTCTTCAATTTTGGAACCCACCGGCTGTCCTGTGAGAACGATCCAGCTTCTGGGTTTGACAGCCAACTTTTGGGGGGCTTTTGGTGTAGCCAATGGTTAAA